TGTAGTTATCTATGTTACAGATATATATCTTTAAAATTTTGTACATATATATTGTACATATATAAATTTGTATATATACATTTTGTGTATGTATATTTTGTATATATATATATCTTTAAAATGGGAAAAGGTATAGATAGATATATACATACATACATATATGTATCTTTTAAAGTATGTTCATCCTAACACCAAGTAAGTTTAATGTACACCCTACCCTCTCCACCACCTTTTACTCTGTTGACTCCTTCATTCTAGCTACCTTTGTCTTTAGTGAGTGGTATAGTTTCTCAAAATCTCACATTTCTAACCTAAGCAACTTTGGGCAGTCATAAAAGTCATTTTGTGGCCCATTTCACGTAGACAGATTTCATGAGTTCATTTTTTTGTTACCTATTTGGAGAATGAGTTTTAAAGACATGAGAAGTAATGTATCTAAAGTGATTATCAAAATATTTTCTACGTCTCTGGTCATCAGAATAACACTAGTTACAGTTTCTGACAGCTGGACCCGCAGTTTTGTGGCTGAGGTCCAACCATGACACTTACCATGAATTTTGTCTCCATTTCCCCTTTCATCAACATAACAGTCACTCTTGGAAGTCAAACTTGACAGCACACCAGAAGTTCTTGGGAACTTTGGGTGATCTTTGAAAGTGATACTGATTTAATTGGTGTAAGGTGCAGACAGGGCGCTGGGATGTTTTAAAGCTGCCTATGCAGCAGGCACTCTGCGACTCCCCGATTCAGATCTCCAGTTCATCTGTGCTCCCCCACCTCACCCCTCCAGAACCTGCCCCATCCTTTTCGTTAATGACCTGGGTTCTTTTCATCTGGTGCCTGATTCAGAGACAGCCGAATCCAGCCACGGTCAAAGTTAACAGTGCTCACAGGCATTACCATGACTGAGAACACAAAAGCACAAACCTGGGAAAACCAGCATAATGCCAGGAAAATAAGGTCAAAAGGTATTTTTCGCCTCTTGGCTTTTAAAAACTTACTTATCATTGAGTTGGGAGTTATAAGGTACTTGTGTAGTATGATCAAAGCTATAATTTGATTTTCCAGTAAGACAATGTAAATAAAATATCATCACAAATGTAAAATAAAATATCACTTTCTAAAACTTTTCTTTAATTGGTATGTTTGCAGTTCACAGTGCTTGCATTCCTCACAGGGTGCTGGTCCACATATGTAACACATCTCAATTCTTTTTTATGTCCCCTCCCTACCCAGCCCTCCTCCTCCATCCCATAATTATAAAATATCTGTCTCCCTGTTTCTTATCATCTGCCTTTCATCTGACTCTTTAATCGATTTATATTCTGGATTTCTCATTTAAGAGCAACCAAGTAATATTTAACCTGATTTATTTTACTTAATATTATGGTTTCAGGTAAAGATGAATTTAAAACCTCTTTTTTTAATGTATAAGTTGCATTCAATTAAATCCACAGGTCCTTAATCCTTAGAACAGTTGTCTCTTTTGGGAAGTCCATGAACTCATGTAACCCCACTCCTGGTAGAGTGTGGGATATGCCTTTAATTGTGTTCTTAGAAATAAGTTTAGTAGAGATTAGCAAAGAATAATTTGTACCCTTTCTCTGTTTGGCACACCAATAAATTACTCTGTATGTCCTCTTTATAATTAATATTTTAAAGTGAGAATTTGAATTCACTTCAGAGTTTAAATAAATAAACCATGAAAAATCAATAGATGTATTTCAGTCTTATAATGGATTTTTAACACAATGGCTAGTTTAATATTAAAGTGTAAAAAAAAAACCCACTTTCTGACAAATAGGCAACGTGTGTTTCATAATGCTATGATACTTATAGTTATCCAAATCCTTTATTTTTCTTGGGTTTTGTGGTGAATGTCTCTTAATTCAAGTCTAAGGAGGAGTGTATGACACATTTCAACTTTAATCCTTGACTGAGATTAATAACAAGTACAATTTATTGAGCCTTCTAAGTATTGTGGCCTGAATTTAAATCTTCATGTCCAAGCTCCTAGTCTGTATATTATCATTGCTTATTTGGAATAATATTTTTCCCCTTTGAGTTTCCTTTGATAATCAATTCTCCCTTGATGTTCCTTCCTTTCTTTTATGCACCACATCCCTAGAAGTGGTTAGGTTTCCCCACTAGCAATGAAATTGCCACCTGCCATTAAGGACAGGTCCAGGGAGGGCTTGGGAGCCTCCTTCACCTTGATGCCAGTGCAGGTGGGCATCTTACTTCATGGTCCACCCAGGCTCCTCCAGCACTTCACAGAAAACTAGGGGTAGTGTCTGTGGCACAGGCTAAAGGAGAAAGAGCCTGAAGGCTCTGCACTATGCTGTGTGGGTGCTGAATAACTGCCGAGAGATTCAGGCCCAGACCTCTCATTCATTGGCCATGTGACCTTGGGCACAGACAATGGAGCACCTTTTTTTCCAAAACCCAGGTGCAAACAATACCTGCCTGCCTGCCTCCCTGTAAATGTCAGCAGAGAGAAAGTTACAGCAAAGCCACAGGTGAGAAAAGGTTTTGTAGACACTAAAGTGAGATAAATGTAAGATCATGTGACTATGTGTGTGTGTGTGCAAAATGAATACAAGTGCTGATTTTTAAGGATAAAGGAAAATAAAACAAAACCTGAGAGCCACACTCCCTACCTCTGCCGTGTGTTAAGACAATGAAAACAGTCACAAAGGAGACTTCGCCTTGCTCTTCCAACTTCTGTTTTTGAAACTTGCATTTTATTTTTGTTAGTCTACATTTACAATGAAGATCACTGTCCCTACCACTAGCCAGAAAGATTCCTGAGCTTAGAGTGCCTCAGCCAAAGCAAGAGAGCAGGAGTGGATAGAAGGATGGGTGAGTACTGCAATAGACAGTTATGAAAAATGTGAGCTCTTGCTACATCCACTGAATCTTCAAAACTGTACCCCACTCCCCAGAAAGTCAACCCCACTTCCCAGGAAGAAAACACTCCCTGTGCCATTTGTGGAGGAAAGTCAGGTAATACTCTGGCATCTTTCTTTCTCCCAGTGGATCCTTTCCTGCTCATTAAGAGTCTGCCAGGAATATGCACCCACACCAGGCTTCTCTGCTCCTCCTTTTCTTCTTCTACCAAAATTGTGTCTGTCTGTCTGTCTGTCTCTCTCTCTCTCTCTCTCTCTCTCTCTCTCTCTCTCTCTCTCTCTCCCCCTCTTTTCCTTCCATACCCTTTTCAGGGTACCAAAAAGTATCATATGGTTTTTGTGGTCATTCATGGAAGATACTTTCATTTGAGTCTCTTAAAATTTTTGAATATGCATACACTGGTAAAAAAAAAAAACAATAAAAGACACTTATGTTGCATTTCTCAAATGACCAATGATGTTGAGCATGTCTTCATGTACTTATCTGTCACTGTTATTTCTTCATCTGAGATCTGTGTGTTCATCTCAGATGCCCATTTTTGGATTGGGTCTTTAAATTTTGGGACCCTGATTTTTTTCAGCCCTTCATATGTTCTAGAAACAAGTTCTTTGTCTGAGAGACAATTGGCTATTGTTTTCCCATTCTGTGGGTTGTCTTTTCACTCTGTTGGTGATTTCTTTTGAGTTGCAAAACTTTTCAATAAGATGAGATCCCAGTTGTTGATCTTTTGAAGTACTTCCAGTGCAATTTGGGTTTTGTTCATGAACCCTTTTCCTACCCCTGTATCTTCAAGATTTCTACCCACTTTCTTTTCCAGTAGATTTAGTGTTTTGTTTTCGTATTAGATCTTTGATCCATTTTGACTTTAGTTTAGTGCATAGTGATAGACATGGGTCTAGTTTCAGTCTACAGCATATGGAGAGCCAATTTCTCCAGCATTATTTATTAAAGAGACTGTCTTTCTTCTGGTGAACATGTTTGGCTCCTTTATCAAAGAGAAGGTGGCTGAATATCTTTGTTATTCTGTCTTCATCTTCTAGTCTTTTCCACAAAGAATGGCCATCATCAAGAAGTCATAACAAATGCTGGCGGGGTTGTGGGGGAAAAGGAACTCTTCTCCACTGCTGGTGGGAGTGCAGACTGGTGCAACCACTGCAGAAATCAGTGTGGAGATTCCTCAAAAAATTAGGATTGCAGATCCCATTAGATCTATCTATTCCCCTTCTGGATATTTTCCCAGGAGATTGAAAACATCTTGACACAGTGATGTATGCACACCCATGTTTATAGCAACACAATTTGTAACAGCTAAATCTTGGCAACAACCCAAATGCTCATCAGCTGTGTAATAGATAAACAAGATGTGGTATTTTTATGCAATGGGGTACTACTCAGTTGTAAAGAATGATAAACGAGGCTTTTATAGGTAAGTGGATGCAACTTGAGGCATTCTCATAAGTGAAATAAATGAGACTCACATGTAACATCACATTGTCCCCCGAGTGTTAAAAAACTGAAGCAGTAAATAAGGTCCAAAATGTACAATAGATATCATGAGAGAGACATGATGAGAGATTGCTCAGAAGGAAAGGACAAATGAGATGGGGGAAGAAGCAAACAGAGAACTATACTACTAATCTCTGTTGGTTCATCAATAACAGTGGTTTCTGCTTTCATTGTCTGATCATTTTTTCCTGCCTGTATCTCGTAATCTGAGCAACTACTTTGAAGATAACAGTACACAATATATTAATCATTGTTAGTCTGTTATTTTGTTTTGAAATTCTGTATCATTTTTATTCTTTTTTAAATAAAAAACATGAAAAAAAAAACACATATTTTCCACACTGGTGTTAACCTAGCCTCGAAGCTAGCCTCTAAGTTTGATGAATCGTGTTAACAAAAATCTTGCACTCGAGTCAGTGAAAGAACACACCCTGTAGGAATGCAGACTGACAGTGGTATTCAGACACAGGAAGAATTTCCAGTATTGCTTCCAAATATAATAATTCCAAAATGTAATAAATAGATATAAAGAAAAAACCCAGTGTGTTTGGAAAACTAATTATTCTTATCTTTTTGTTTTATAGCTACTGTCTTCCTGGAGTTTTGGAAGAGGAGAAGAAGTATACTGACCTATACCTGGGATCTTATTGAATGGGAAGAAGAGGAGGTGAGGCTTTAGGAAGCCAGGAGGCACAGACACTGAGGGAGCTCATGGTGTGGAAAATCGCTGCGTCCCAACTCTTCAGCCAGGAGTGATGCATACATCAGACTTCCTCGCGATGTTTTCTACCAACGTGACTTCGTACTTCATGAAGATAATAAAGATCAGTAATGAAATAAGGGTTTGCAAAACTATTTCCGTGATACATCCTTAAATTACACTAGTGGAAAAGCATGCTAATTAAAATAGACTAAGGTTTATTTGGAAAATAACTGACGTATTGTTTTTTAAAGGATATATCTTGGAAGACAGCATGAAAGCAGGAAAAATGTAGTAGTCTTACATTAATTCTTGGAGGCATTTTTTAAGTTTGTGGTGTTGATAGTAACTTTAACATCTCTTCTAGGAGACCTTGCGCCCCCAGTTTGAAGCCAAGTATTACAAGATGGAGATTGTAAATCCCATCACAGGGAAGCCAGAGCCCCATCAGCCTTCCTCCGACAAAATCACCCGTCTTCTCGTCTCTGTCTCAGGAATATTCTTCATGGTAAAGTGCAGTCTTCATTATGAAAATGCTGTGGGGTCCCAGAGTGATCAGGGTGTCCTATGATGCGAAGTCATTTTGTGACCTTGAGAATGTAAAATAATAGCCATCTAATTTCTCTTTCAAACTTTGTTTCTTGTATCGTTTCCTTCTTATCTCTCTCTAAGATACTCCACTTAATGTATAAAAATGTAGGGAGATAAATCCAACCTACAGTATATATATGATCAGTTCACTAATAAGGAAATATTCTTTAAATAACAAAAGTAGGACCGGTGGAAACACGTAGTTGTTTTTAAACACGTACTTGTTTTTTATCCTTTTCTGTCTTATTCCACTATGGTAAATACATCCTTGATGATATACAAAGCATTTCTTTCTGATAAAACCATAGATGAGTTCTTGACAATATAATTCAACAAAAAAGAAATTGAACTGTTAAAAAAGAAAATACCTTTAATACCTTGGTAATATATTCAGTTCAACAAAACAGAAATCATAGCAGATGTTGGAGATTTATAAAAGGGAATTTGTGTACTTCTTTACTAAAGCATTCATTGGAAGGAACTAAGATCACCTAAGACTAAATGGAAATTATCTGAGGCACCCTACTGAGTTGAGTATTTTGTGTTAAAAGAAAGCCTTCCAGTTGAGTGACAAAATGCAGATAAAATTTGTACTTTAGAGGGATAACTGTTATCATACCCAAACACCTTAAATATTTCTCATTTCTGTTTTGTTGTTTGCAAATTTAGTTAACTAAGTTTGATTCATTTTAATTTTGTTGTGCATGTTAAACAAAGGCCCTCACTTGTGCTAAGCATTTACTTTACGGCTAAGTAACTCCCCTGAACCCTATTTATATTAAATGCTAGGTAACATTCTTGGTCCTTTCATGTCATCATGGTGTTTTGAACTACACGTGCACTGTGTGGTGGTTAAATCCACCATCTTGCAGAGTTACCATGTTACGCTTAAATCTTTTAGTGTTAGTTGTGACTCTAGTATAAATTACTCCCTCAGTAGGGAAAATATACTCAGTGTATCCTTTCTAAGGAAAGTCAGTCCTTTTTTTTTTTTTTTTTTTTTTTTTTTTTTTGTCTTTTTCATTTTTACCGGTACCAGGGATCGAACTCACGACCGCCTGCTTGCAAGGCAGGTGCTTATGCCGCTGAGCTAAATCCCCAGCCCTGAAAGTCAGTCCTTTTAACTCTTGGGGACAATGTCTCTGATCTATGCCTCTGCTTCAAACCTGTTAAGGATGCACCTCCGGGTGCCCTCTCTGGTGTCCTGTGTCACAGATTTCTCTGGTGATCACTGCGGTATTCGCGGTAGTGGTGTATCGCCTGGTGGTCATGGAGCAGTTTGCATCCTTCAAGTGGAATTTCATCAAGCAACACTGGCAGTTCGCCACATCTGCCGCCGCGGTCTGCATCAATTTCATAATCATCATGTTGCTGAATCTAGTAAGTGTCCTCTGTGCTGCTCTTAGTTGCACACAGGGGTGGGAAGTGGAAGGGGTGACGCCCCCTCGTAGGTGACACGTCTTGACACTGCCGACAAGATAAGACAGATGTACATTTTCGGCACTGACAGCTCATTCTGACAGAAAATATTCCACCTGTGTGGTTTAGGTGGTGGATTTTTGAAATGCAAGCCAGCGCTGGTTGGATTGCTGCCTCTGCCTTTTGGGTTTATAATCTAGACTGGTGAAAACTCCCAGCCATTGAGTATCTGATGTGTACTTGAGAGGGGCCAGGCACTTTTTGAACAACTGAGGGATGTGTAGAATTACAAAACCACTTAAATAAACTCGGGCTCATAGGACTGTTTGGTGGAAAGATGCAGAAAATTTGGCTTGAAAATGAAGGCTTGTGATCTTTAAAGCAACTACTCCACTCTTTCTCTCTGTCTCTGTCTCCCCTTCTCCCTCCTTCTCTTTTTCCCTCTTCCTCTCCTTCTTTCCCTCTCCATCTGTTCCATTCACATGAGGAGGATGACAATCTTTCCTTCACCATGGCCTGTGTGTCTGTCACGGTCTGCTGCACTGGGCATTATTATACCTTGGTTATTTCACTATATGACCACTTTGTCAGGTTTGTGCAATTTAATTCCTCAAAGAGAGGGCTTTTTGTTCAGCATCACATGCATTTATCAATATGAAGACCAAAAGTCTGTGGGAGACATCATCAGTTTGCCTCTGCAAGGAAGTCAGTGGATGGAAACCAATCTTTTTCTGAAAAGAAGAGCTACTAATTATTGTATTATATATAAGCAATTAGAATTTGGTTCCAAATGTGGTTGAAATGAATGCTTCGTGCTTTGCCATGAGAGTCCATAGGGCATCTTCTATTTAATTTTATTAACCTGGAAAGGCTGTCAGAGAATAAATTTTAACCATTGTTCAGAAGTTTATATCCACTGATTCTGCTTTCTTCAGTTTCAGTTTAATTGGTTGAAGAAGCAAAGTATTTACGGTGCCTCCAGATAAGGCATAAAATACTTGAATTTATGCCATTGGATCACAAATGTACAACAAACATTGAAAAAGTACAATGCTAGATAACTTACATTGTGCAAGTTAATCTAGAATTCAGACAAAATAGTTTTCTGATCAAATATAAATCTCTTTTTTAAATATATCTGATAAAGAGCATCAAAAATAAAACAATAGAGCATTAATAGCTACATATATAATAATTGGGATTATACATCAAGATATTATCAATATTTGTCTCTGAAAAATAAAGAGTATTGGTGATTTTTTTCTGTCTCTGTTGCCTGATGTCATATACATTGCATTTTCTAGAGACCTTATTTTAAAGAGATCATCAGTGACAGAATTGAAGTTTTGTTACAGTTTTTTTGTTTTTTGTTTTTGTTTTTTGGGTTTTTTTTTCCCCTGTGGATTGAACTCACCACCTTGCACTTGCCAGGCAGACACTTATGCCACTGAGCTAAATCCCTAGCCCTGTTAGAAGTTATTAATATATGACTATATAAAATAGTAAGAATTGAAAAAGGTGCTAAATGACCAAAAATAAAAGAATATGAATTCAAAATTGTACATAGTGGAGTAATATAATCTACTTAAATGCTATCTTGTTATTATTTAAGAACATGAAATCCAGTTACATAGCAAAGATATACAAGGTTACTTGATTTTTTAACTTTCTGAAATATACAACTCACCCACTTGGATTTCAAAACATAGGAAATGACAGTCAACTGTTAACAGTATCATCTCTTCACAGTAAGATATATGCCAAACACTTTCGCTTTGAAATAACTTTTTTTCTCATCATTCAAATATTGATCTCTGTATGCAGTATAATTCATAATTCATAATCAGAGAAAAACAACTTCTGCTTTGAAAGGTTCTACCATGGCATAAACTCAGGGGCGTGCTGGATGTGGAAGGCATTTTCTGTTTTAACTTCGCACTGAGTCACGCGTACAACCCCAGTCATGTAGGCAGTAAGTTTGGGTCTTCTCTAAGATTGTGTCTTTCACTGAGGAAAGGAAAGATTTGTCCATGGCTGGCTGGGCGCCATCCTGCCCACAGCCCATGACCATGCGGCCCTGCTGCCCACCTGTGCACTCCTGTGTCACCTGCATCCTCTCAGCTGTCTGGGAATTGTCACTTGCTGTGTCATCTCTTCTCCGTGGGGTCCTGAGGACTCTGGGCACAGACCTAGCAGATTTACTTCCTCCCCTCTGTGACCCTCCACATCCCATGGACCATCTGTGGCCTCCTGCTTCTTCATTTTTCAAATGAGGATGGTGGAACTCACAGATAAGGGTACTGGAAGATGAAGTGAGCCCTTGTCTGGTGTGTGGAAGCTGCTAACACAGAACTCGCCTTCCCTAAGCTTGCTTTGTTCAGTATTGTAAATTTTTTATTCCTTTTTTGATGTATGGATACGCCCATTCCTTCTCAAAAAGCAAAAACATTTTCTTTCCTTTCTCTGTTTTTTTTTTCTTTAATAGAGTTGATTACTCCATTTCTGTTGGTCCAAGATATGGATATGACAGTCTTTTCATGAATCTACCTAACTTTTCAGACCACATCTGCATTGATTTATACTGAAGTTTTGTTCTTTTATTTTCTTCATTTCTATCACACTTTTACATATAAAAATAGATATTTGTATAATCAAAATTGTCTTTGGAGAGGAAGAAAAACATATACCTTGGGTCATATTGTATCTTTTAAACAAATATACTAATAAAATATTTTAAGAGGCATGAGGAAAGTCTATTGGACAAAGATTTTAGGCAGAAGTGTAGGATGAATTCACAGGTAGAGTGCAATGCTCAGAGATGAGGCATAGATGTGTTTTAACTACCGAAAAGTTCAACCATATAAAAATTTCAGTATTTTCATTCTTTTGATGTCTTAATTTTATAACTTCCTTTTAAAGTATGTTATCCTTATCATTCCTTTAAATTACAAAAATCGATGCCTTGTTATTATAAAGTATATTGAACTATACAAATTTTAAGATACTGCATAGAAGCCAACTTGCTCAAAGCCTAAGATGCCTTCCTTTGCCCTTCCCACCTTTAATCTACATGTGCCAGCTACTGGTGATTTGTGTGGCAGGTCTCACATCTCCTTCTTCTCCACATCTCCTCCACCCTATCACTACCTGCAACAGAGCACCCCACCCCTGCTCCTATTTGATCTAGTAGTTTGTTCCCAAGGTCTAGTGATCTTCAAAAGCATCTTGGACAAACCTAATGGACTGACTTAATACTTCTGAAGATAAGGACTCTTCCAGACAAGGAAAATTAAGAAATGAATGTGTTTAATTAATTTTTGCTTGGGAAAGCACGCACGACAGCTCTGAGACAGACACTCCACGTCCAGTGTTAACACTGTGTACCCACCTGAAGAAGGAATCGTCCTTCAGTTAGAATGTGAGGACCCAATGCATGATCCAGAGCCTGCATTTAAGATTTATGCTCAAACATTTTTCTTATGAAAGCGTTCTTCGTCTTGTCACTAATAATGAGAAAATAAATACTGGTGCCTTTTCAGTGGTGTACTAGACTCTAGTGTTACTTGGATCATTCTGGTTGTGGTTGAATCAGCAGTCTCTGCTTCACTGCCAACCCCTCTCCCAAGTTACCGCCCTTTAACTACAATCATGACTGGCTCTCATATTTCTGTATTTTTTCTCTCAAATGATTGGTACACATTTTGTTCTCCCTAAGATGATGTGTTTGTTGAGGCTCAATTATTTCCTCCAAAACCCTTAATTTTACAGAAAGCAAGGGCTGTATTCTGTAGGGCGAATCTCTGCTCAAAGCAGGAAGACCTCTGAAGGCAGGTGAGCATGGCATTATCGGAGGTTACCCACACAACCTTTGGAGATCCTCAAATCCTGCAGCTCTGCCCAGCTGAATACCATTCACTCTCGGTGCTTCAGAGCAAACATCAGAGTCCCCAGGAGAAGTCAGAGCTGTCTTTGCTTCTCCTAAATGTTTGTGTCTAATTCTTAGACATTTCAGCATAGAGATTCATAGACTGATGGAAGTGGAATAGACTATAAATACTTCTTTACCCTTGCAACTAACTTAGGAGATGAACTTTAAACACATTTAGCATAAAGAAAGCGCATATGTGGCCAGCTCAATCTATATGAAAAGATTGTTACATTCATTTTTAATTGGCTTAATAATAATTCTTTTCTAAATTTATATATTTCTTTTCTACTGAGGATGTTATGGTACTTATTATTAACTATTAAGGTATAAATTATTAAATATCTCTTCTGGCTCATCTGAATCTACATATGAATTGAAGAGCTTCATCAAATATAGATTGCAATGTGCAGTATTATATCACTGAAATGTCCATCTAGAAAAACTAAAAGTTCCACTTGTGTTATTTTAAGAATAAAACTGACTATACAGCTCCTAAAAATGTATTTTGTTTCTTAGTAGCTGGAACTTAGGATCTCTGCGCCACCATCTTTCCCAAATGAGAGACTTACACTGAAAATATTGTACAACTCTAATGGTTTCTCAGCTGTAATTCAAAATGCGCTACATAATGAAATATAGGAATGGTAATAGTTTAAAACAAATGTTTCCTTAAATCAGCCATATAAAAACATATACAGCCTAAATCCTTGTATATCCCTCATACATTTCTTTCATCTTCTCAGTGACTGATGGTTCTGAGTTTTCCTCAAGGGCTTCTCTCTTTTCCACCCCCTGCTCACAATCTCACTGGGCTTCCTCAGTTAAGCAAGTCATTACATTTTGCTTGGACTGTTCTATGACCTTCTAACTTGATAGTTTTGCCATTTCTACTGTAAACGCCTATCTCCTTCACACCTGATTTTTGCAAGCATGTATCTAAATTGTAACTTTGGATCATTTTAGCATAGGCTTGAAACTGTTTCAGGGATTTCCACTAGCTCTGACATAAACCCTACCCTCACATACCTGCCTCCTGGGGTGGGGATCACTGCAGGAACCCAGCTTTCTCCTCTGCTCTCCTGTGCTCTCTCTGAGGCCTCCAGCCTCCCAGCCACTTCCTCTATCCTCCTGCGCTTTGCAGCTCCCCACCCCTGTGTGTGGCTCACAGTGCTTCTTCTGTCTAAAATGTCCCTTTCTCTTTTGTCTCCTTGGAGAATATCGCTTCATCTTTGAAAATAGCAGTTGTAGATTATTTCCTCCCAGATCCTTTTTCTCGCTCTCACGTGGAGTTGAGTAATCGCGTCTTTGTTTTAATAGCAGCCCGAGGCTCTTGGGGATGCCTGACCTCTCAGCTCACTGACTCTTGGCAGAATTACTAGGCCCTCTGCGAGTATTCTGTGCAATCTTCTTTCCCCACTGTCCAAGTGCTGAGCGCATGTAAGCAGAATTCTTGCTTCCTTGGTTTTGAACACCCAGGTCCTTGCTTATTATCTGAAAGGTATCTGTTGAACAACCTTAACACATGCTATTCTCCAAATGTATGGGCATCTTTCATATTGCATGCCGTCAGATTCTTTATGTGTTAGACTTGTCTTTTCAAGCGTACAATAATTGTTTTACATGGAACAAAATATACAGCCATATTTATTTAACCAGAGACTGTGCATTCTCTAAATATTTCAAAACAGGTCAATCATGGAAATTCTAAATAAACATTCAACTGGGGAGAAATATAGGAATTAATATAATAAAAACTTGATTACAAGTCTATTGTATAGATTGTGAATGTAATTTTAAAAGTTTTTTCCGTTTCTTATTACGCATCAAATTTTATGCAACAACTTTTAAAACTGTGGATTCTTGATTTCCACGAAAGAATGAACTCTTTTTCCTATTTCTCCTCTCTTAAGATGACATCCATTTACCATACACAAAGCACATCAGTACCAAAGAAGAGAAATTACTAATAGTTTAGGGGTAGTGTCAGTACTCTCCTGGTTCTGCTCTTCCCCATCATTGATGTATTTGTTTTTTATTTTAAAGAGAATAAAATAAAACAGCCAGAGATTTAGCTTGGTGGTGTAAGCACCTGCCTGGCCAGCGTGAGGTGGTGAGTTCAATCCCAGGTACAAAAAAAAAAACTAAAAAAACAAACATAAAAAAAAAAAAAAAAAACAGAGTAAAGCAAATCAGAACAATGCAGGACTTCAAAATAAAACAACAGGAAATCAACAATGGCTGCCATAATATCTCTTGTTTTCTTCAAAATAGCTGTTGGCTGACCCATTTCCATGTCTCCATGCCTGGGCTGTTTTCTCAGATGTGGTCACCAAGCCTCAAAATATATTTACCTTTCCTAGTATGTGTTATTCTCGGTCACTCATTAGCCTGCACACAAGCTGCTAGAAGATGGGGCAGATCAAAAGTTTGGACGTAGGGCTTAACCAAGAAAGGGGTTAATGCCAAATGATTCATTTAATAACAGGGTTGGCTTTTCTAAACTGTCTTCATTTGGTTTGTGTAAATCTCTATCCAAATCTCTAGACACTCAGAGGGTAGAGAGCTGGAAAAGAGCAGTCTCTCCTGTTCTGCAGGAGTCTGGGGGTTGTTTTCACGGTGAGTCTACACTTGGGGCTCCGACTCGGAGATTAAGGGTACTAAACTGCAGGGCCCCTTGAGCTACCCTGTGTGTGAACTGTGCCCTAGCCCTGCGCTTGCTCCTGGCCTCCTGCCTAACTGATTCTGCCACCGAACTTCACCACGGCATCAGCGGGGAGCCGGTGCTGTCTGAGCTCAGAGTGAGTTCTAGCATCCTTACGGTAGCCAGTCGTCCCCTGATAAGACGCCTCTCTGAGGTCTTTCTGCCACCCCTCTACTCCACTAGGTCACTGTCACCTCTCCTGTCCTTCGGGCTCCCTTTCCTGTCAGGAAGTCCATGGAGTCCATGCCAGCCTTGGGCATTTGCACCACATCTCAGAGGAGCTCGGCTCAGGCTTCAGCTTGCCTCCCTCATTCACAGCTCCATTTGAATGTCTATCAAGAGGAGCGGCTGGAGGAAGTAGTTCTCTCACCAGCGCTGCACTCCACCCGCTTCCCTCTTCCCCACAGACCTTTTACCTCCTGACCAAGTGCATATTTGTTGCCATTTGTCTCTGTCCACTGGAGTTTAAGTTCTTCCATGAAACTCAATACAGACCGTGTTTTTGTGTGTCCCTGTATCATCCTCCCTGTCTCTGCTCACTCAAACACCTTACCATTCCACTCCCCTGCCCGAGTGACAGCTGCCATGCACCACACTGTAAAATCGTGCTCTCTGTGCTTCATAGCTTAGACTTTACAAGTCGGTCTTCACAGGCTGATTGCATAGCACACCTTGGTAGTGGTCCCAATCAGCCATTGCATCCGGGCTGTGGATGATGCAGGTTTTCAGTTAAACCCAGAAAGCTTCCTACTGCAGGACAGCCTCTCCTGTGATTCGGAACATTTCTCCACAAGCTTTGCACTCCAGTGAGCACCCAGCTACAGGTATTCCCTTCGCAGGCTTGCAGACAGGCTCTGTGTGCTAAGAATAAGATAGAAGTCTTGAAATGTGACAAGGCACAGTGTCATGAAAGTAGGCTGTCATAGCTCATCCTAACTCAAGTACTCACTTAGTGGGACGGTGTTGAGCTGGGCACCTGACACTAAGCCTCAGTGCCCTGCTTTGTAGAATGGGCATCATCATACCCACTTAGAATTGTTGCTAAGGAATAGGAATATGTGGAAAACACTGCTGGGCACAGTGACAATACTCTGAATAGCAATTATTTAAGCAGAACTAACTTCAGCCTCCATGAAGGTGGCAAAGTCGGTGATATCAGTGCAGTGACCACCAAGCACTATTTGTGGGTTGGTCAGTTCCAGCCCTGAGAGACCTCGATGCAATTGCCTCACTTGATAAATGAGGCATGGAAAGGACTTGCTACGATAAGAATAACCTTGATGCTCGTGAATTCCAGGTCATCTCATCTTCAGATTGAAAATGAAGGCTTGTGAGTACAGTAAAATAAACAAGCAAACAAACAAAACCTGCCCTAGAGCATTTACACAACTATTTTTGGTTTTGGCATAATATTTCCATCCCAAGAATATTTTAGGTCTGAAAAAGAGAAAGGAACAAAATCATCACAGTCGTTCCATTATAAGGACACTCAGGGGACTGTCAGCAACTTTTAAAGTGAAGTGTACGTGTAATTTTGCATGCCAACAGACAGAGTTATTAGAAACATTATTCTAAACATTAATTTATTGAATTGCGTGTATGTAGTCACACACAGACACATATACATCATAAACATGTAACACCTTTTGTCTGGAGCAAATATGCTTTTTCCAACTACATTTACTTAGCCAACTTTAAAATCTATGTCATTTACTTGAGTCTACACAAATGATGGTTAGAATAGATCCCAGAAGGGCTCAGGCTGGCAGGAGATGAAAACTATTAGCAGGAAAAAAAAAAATCTATCTTACACACAACTTACATATTGTGCGGACTTGACCTAGATTCTCTTTTAAATAACCACTCAGTTTTTCGTTAAAAATGCAAGCCGGCAAATTGTGTTTTTTTTTCATAGTTTGGAAAATTATTTATGAATAATAGAGAATTCATGGCTTCTATTTCTTCCTCCAGTGTGTCAAAAGACTAGAATGTTAAAGTTCAATCTCAACTCATCCATATCTAACTGAAAAATTTGTTTACTTTTTTCTGATTTAGAAATTAGATTACAAAACAAGTTAACATGCAAGAAAAACTTATTGCAGATAACAAATTTTATACATATACTTCTACTTATGTCTATTTTGTATATGTAGATAGATATATACAAAGCACTATATCTTAAGTTTTAATGAATTGTTCCATTTAATTTAAAACGTAACCACTTTGTGGAACATGATTTGCAGAACATATTTTAGATGTGTCTTTGAATAATGCAAATTTCAACTTTTGCTAAAAGAAAGAAATATTCATTATGCTTTCTTTCTATTACAGGCCTATGAAAAAATCGCTTACCTCCTCACTAACTTAGGTGAGTCCATTTTTATTACTTCACCGTTAGTAAGAAAACTAGTGGACACAGAGTCTGTAGTCGCTGTACGCATTGTAGCATTTTATGGTCTTTGGTTTCCTACTCTGTTAGTAACAGTGAGAGCAGTGCTGGAGGAGACCAGTGCCTCTAGTTGCTGAATACCTCAACTCCCAACTAGCAAAGATGCTGCCTGTGATTTTTTCACCAGTTTTTAAACTGTTTGTGTTCTATGTATAGTTTTGCATAGACGTGTTTTTAAAAGTCAAGAAGTTCAAAGAGATTAACAAGGAAAACGAGCCCTCCGCTACATTACCTTCCTGCTTTCGGTAAAGCCCACCATGGAACTGTTTTTTTACCACCTTATGAGTTTCTTATATTATTCCCCAAGCTGTTCTAAAGAGCATGACTCTATTGCTACTATTGGGCTTCTGTCCTTGAATAGCTATTTCTTTTCTGGTTAAAAGTACTAACTATGGAGACTCTGCTCTCAGTGTTCCTCTCTCCACATCTCCGCACCTGGTACCTGACCCACACTGTTACTTCTCCTCCTTCCATGGAAGTTGCATCTGTGTACTTAACCTAGTTATTAACTAATGCTCAGGTCCCTATGTCTGCATAACTGATTTCAAATCTAGGACATCCACTGTACGTAATTACATTTTAGAACCACTTCTAATTTTTTTTCACGAAAATGACTTGAAGTTTTACATATCTCCCTTTATTTACCCTAAACTTTTTGCCAAAATTTTAAATTGCCCCTGAATCTGTAAAATCCCATCAAGTATTCTACTCAGTTCTTAGGGTTATCTTTCAAGTCTTCTAGCTGCCCTGGACTGGATGGGTCATACTCGGGCTTACCCCAGCTCCCTGGGAATTCCTGCCACCCCTTGTCTCAGTTAGATAGTTCTTCCTGTCTCCTTTGCTCCTGCAATTCCTTATATTCCTACCTGAAAGTAAATGTCTTTAAACTTTTTATGTGTGCAAATACTTTCTTCTGTCCTCAAGTTTGATTGCTTTTCTGGGTATTGAACTCTAGCATGCAATGACTTTTCCCTTAACATCTTTCTACCTGCAATGGAGATACCTTGGTATGTGACAGGTGTGAGTCTCCAAACACATCATTAAGTATCCCTGGTGTAAGACAGGCCCTGGTGTATAATAACAAACATAATGACCACAGAGCAGAGGAGAGGACAGCAGAGGAGAAGCATTGGTGTGCTGTCACCAGAAAGGAAATGAGCCATCACTAACTAGCCAGGTCAGCTGTGGCTGAGCCGGAGCGAATGGTAGACATATGGGGAACCATAAAGAGGCATGATGAAACCTGCTTAGAAAATTAGAGAAAGTTCAAGCATTAGAGCCACAGTGCCTTAGGAAAGAAGGAACCAGTGACTCTGGGATGTGAAGGGCTCCCAGAGGGGGTTGCGCCCTGCCTCCCTGTATTCTGAATAACGCTTTGAGAAGTGTTATGGTTAGGAGTTGCAAGGAGAATGATTATATACAGGACACAATTTATAATATGATTTTATGATGGTCACCCTGAGTTAAAGTGCAGGAAATCTCCCCACAGCACTAAAGACCTAGAAAATCCAGGTGAAACCCTGGATGCCACAAAATGTCCTGCATGAGTCTAGCTGAAGACCTAGAACCCATGACAATGACTCACACCAATCTGTCTTATGGATCTGGGCTGGGAAGTCCCAAAGATCAGCAGGGGAAGCGAGAAAGTCTATGCCAGTTGGGTGAAGGAGCTGTGCCAGCAGGCAAAGGGTTCTGCAGTGGAGCCAAGAAACGACACTAAAAATAACAGCCAGAGCTCCCCTGAAAAGTACCACAGCCACCCTAAGTGACAATGAGATCCAGAGGTCCTCTGATGATGAGACACCCGAGTTCATCCCAAGAAGCCAGCGTTTCTCCTGGAGGTTAAATAGCACCCATCTTCCCGTCTGGAACGAGCAAGTAATGATCAAAGTAAGGACCAGAGCTCCCCCAAAGTGAACAGCAGCCATCCTCAGCAACAAGGTCCCAAGCCTCCAGTGATAACAGCCAGGTTCACATCAGGGAAGCCAGTATGACAAGCTCCTCTGGGAGAACCAACAGTCCTCAGGTAGCCATCCACACTCAGCACCACGCCAGTTTCGTTCAGCTGGTGTTAAGCTGATCACCAGTTCCTAATGCATGAGAGTGAGTCTCCCCCACCACAGGAGGCAGCGTGGTGAGAAGTCAGGGAGGGGAACACATCTCTGCAGAGAGACTGTACAGTGCAGGGGGAATGACCCATGGTCCAGCCTGGGCTTTCACACATCATGAACAGAGCCTGTGTCACCCCAGAGGGCTGGTTCCCCTGAGACAAGGTCTCTTTTATTGCCAGTTCTTTATATTTATTCATTATAAAAGCACTTTAATCTCAAGACAGAAGAAAATATAAGACCAATTTGGGGGAATTGTAGAATGTGTTTTTAAAAAGCGGGTGAAACCAAAACAGTGATTGGTACTGTCTTTTCTTTCTGTCAATAGCCCAGTGATAGCCCTGTGTTCATATATTCATAATTATTCATCAATAACCATTGGACTACATTTATTTAAGTTGATAAAAATTGATATTTTCTTAACATATAATCTACTATATGCATATATTCAGCTTAACTTTTAACTGTGCTGGTTTGGTTTTTTGCTGTTGACGGTGGTTTCTTCTTTTTTGTTTTGAGACAGAGTCTCACTCTGAGGCTGGTTTTGAACTCATTGTGCAGCCCAGGCAGGTCTAGAACTCGCAGTGATCCTACTACCTCAGCCTCCCTGGTGATGGAATTCCAGGGGTGCACTACCACACCCAGCCTAACTGTGCTAATTTGTGTTTCATATTAGAAATTAGAACTTATTTACCAAAGAGATCGTATACTATCTTATTAAAATGTTTTTAAACTATATATTTCTTGAAGTTTTTCAAATATTTTCTTTCTGTAATTTACAAAGAAAAAACAAACCAAGATTTTAGTTCATGTGAGCAGAGGAGATGGGTTTGAACCCAGGGCCTTTGCACTAATACTTATCCCTGGCTTGTGTTCCTGTGTTTCTTTTAAACAGGGCCTTGATACATGCTACGTTTCCCAGGCTCAGATCTTCTCTCCTTGGCCTCGCAGAGGGCTGGGGTTACAGGCATGCACCATTACACCTGCTCGGTTCTTATCTTTTTTTTTTTTTTTAATATGGGAAGAAATGTATGGCATTCATTTCCAAGTGGTACTCACTTCACTTTGGTTTTGTGTTTGGGGAGAGCTGTATCAGGGTGATTTTAGGGGTTCCCAGTAATAACTGCCTAAAATAGTGGATGTCTATACTTAAGGTTAATTCCAAGGAACAAACTAGGCTGACTGAAGAACCAGTTTTGACTGTGTCAGAGGTCAGACCTGCCTCACAGGGTCACAATCATAATGCACACGGGAATCACTGCAAGGAGTGAAGTACTCAATGGCAAAACAAGCTGGGGTGTGCCTGTGGGTGCCCCCAGCAGCCCGCTTATCGTCCCTGCCTAATCTCATTAGGGAAGAAGTAGGTTATGCTTCATCCAAAGACACATTCTTATTGACAATAGTATCTATATCCCCAACTATATCCAGAATTCATTTTCTCCTCCAACGAAAGGCAAACTCAAGGTCCCTCACACCGTGCTGTACATGCTGACAACACAGCAGCTGCAGATAACTGTTTCTCTCCCTTATCATACAGAACTTCTGTAAGTCACCATCATCGCAGTGAATGCCAGGGTCTCGGTCACTGCGGCATGAGGGACCACAGTGAGCCGGTTTAGAACAGTTTGTGATCACCGAGGGTCCTGCGTCCTCGGCCAGCCCAGCATGGAGCTGTGCTCCAGGGCATGGCAGTCTGCAGGGCTGAGAGGTCTAACGTGGCTTTGGCACATGTGTGACACCTTCTATGGGACTCCCAGGAAAGCTGATGTCTTCTGTAGCCCTTGTCTCAGCTCCAGACCCTGTACCTCCCTACGTGGCTCACTTGGGTCCTTCCATGAGGGATAACAGGGCTTCCTACAGGACCACAGGCTTCCGAAACTAAGACCTCGAATGCTAAGGCAGTCTCTGATGGCACCTTACCTGCCGGTTCCCTGCTGGTCAGACCAAGTCATGTGGTCAAGCTGAAAGTCACCAGGTGCTCATGCCCAGAGGGTTCCCTGGAGCACTGGTGAGAAGATCCCCAGCACATGGTCTTTCTGGCACAAAGCCTCGGCGTTGGGAGCATTGCAGTCTTGGTCACAATATAATATAAAGCGGTAGAAAACTTTTCAGCATGCTGACAGCCTGACTGATCTCTTCACTTTTATTTAGGGGCCTCTACCCCACTGATCCTTAGTAGTCTTTTCTGGTTCCAGATTTCATGTCCCTGAAGCTGTATTCCTTGGTTTTCCATTTCACAAGCTCACCAGAGCTATTTGTGATTCTTTAGTTATGTCTGTTATATTGCTCTGATACCCATACTGATCAAATTATTGAGTGCATTTAAATAAATTGTTACATTAAAAGGCAAATTGCCATTAAGCACCGTCAACATACCCCCGCTCACTTGAACACATTTGTGCCACTTTCTGAAGCCATTCTGGAAGTCCTCTTTCATAAATGTCTTTGTGAACCATGATCAAAAACAGAGGGAATGCTGCTGCTGAGGGCAGGCTGGTGAAAACATCACATCATGACCTCATCCCTCTGTGTAATCGCTCTGACACCTGCAACATGTGACTCTTCCCCACAGTCAAAGGGACCAGGAATGTTTGGAAAATATTTTGAATTGGTTTAAATAAGGCATCCAGAACCGCCTCAGAAGTGTCAAGAACACTGGGCAAGCGCGTTGGAAGTGAGAAAGAATAGTTCAAGATGGGTGAAAGGCAATGCATCTTTTAACCAAATTTTAAAAATTTAGTCCTTCACCATATTTTTACCATACCATGTATATATGTATTTTCTCCATAAGACTGAAAAATCCTTAATGTTAGGTCACTGAAAACATTTACCTCTGACTTTCATAATACTTGTTATGATATTTGAAATTCATTCATTCTTAAAATAAATATAGAAGACATAATATTATAAAGTAATAGGAGGAAAGAACACTATAAAATCAAAATGTATTATTCTTTTCATTTACTGTTAAGTTTAGCCATCTAATAGTTTTATTACCAAACTTTAATTAGATCATCTGTTAGGCTGATTTATAATTTTTTTTCTTGTTCTGTTTTTGTGAAGTTTGGATAACAGATTAGCATAATCTGATACTTTTAATAATCTGATACTTACAAACTCAGTCTGTTCTGATAAACAGTAGATCTTAAAAGACCAGGAAAGCCATGACTCTTGATCCATGTAATAAAATACAAGAGAAAAAAAGATAAGGGAAGTTAGTAAATGAATATAAAAACAAGTATACATTTGCATGTATTCTAAATCTATCTATCAATTGATCAATTGATCAATCTATCTACTACCTTTTCAAACAATGGGACTCAGCTTCAATTTTAAAAAACATTAAGTCTAGCTATGCATCAGTGAAAACAAAGACAAATCCAAAAAGGCGAAATTGACTGATTTTTAAGGAACAAGCACATTTACCAAGAAGAAGGTACCAACAAAAACAGATGTAATTATACTAATATCAGGCAAACCAGAATTTGAAAACAAGTTTGAAGATTACAGAGGGTTACCTCATATTGCATAGTGATTTATGAGGTCACTATAACATTCATGATTTCTTGACAAACCTTCTAGATGCAGAAAACTAAAGCTAATATAATATAAAACCAACGTGATGTATCCACAGTTAATACATAAATAAGCATATGTAGTATTTAAATATTAAATTTGGCAAACTTTTTAAAAATAGCTATAAATTGCATAGCCAACCAAAACCAAATATTCTTTACAAATTCTTGACACACTCATTAATTGTATTTACAAGACTTAGGCACACATGAATTTGCATGTTTTTTGTCTCCGAGCAGATATCATACAAGACACGTGTGTGGATTGCAATGCAGGGCAATTAGAAATGGGTACCAGCCCATCTATTCATGAGAAACGTTACTAAAATTTACGCTTCCTTTTTAGAGGAATTCTGGGTACAAGTGAGATAACTAAAGCATAGTTCAGAAGGAAACGGCAGCAAAGGCCCACCCCGTGGACCCTGGGGGGCACGTTCTGCCAGTGTCCTTTGGTGACAGAAGGGAGCCCTGGCTCCCAGCCACCTCGGCCCTCTGCCCCAGCATCACATCTGGACCTGGTGACCTGGCTGTCTTGTCTCGCTCTCCATGGGGCTCATCTGTGCATGCATTTGGCCTGTACTTAAACCAGGTCCTATTCATTCTCTATCTTTCTTGAATTCTTTACTCTATATTCAAATACATAGTAGATACCTGTATGTGCTTTTTACCATTGATTGGGGAACCAAGGTGGTGGTCCATTCTGCTGTCTGTATCCATTATCCTCATCTTTTTCTCAAGTCACAGAGCTACAGGGTGTGAGGGTTGACAGGATTCAGAGAAATCATCTAACCTGAATCCTTCATTGCGTAGGTGACAAAACTGATGCCTCCCACCCAAAAAATTGAGTCACCTGAAAGTGGGGTGTAAAGCTGAGCCAACACCGCTGTCTCACCCTTCTGTCACCTGCTTTCCTTTCCTCTTTATCACAGAAAATGTTAATTCTTCAACTAAAGCTCTGACTATTCAGGTCCGTGTATTGAGCGATGCTAGAGTGAAGAACTGATCTATCTTTACAGTTACCGCTAAACTGCTGTGACAAGACAGCCATGAAGGTCTAGCTATACTAATAACAGGTGCTATGCTTCTGTGGGAGCGGTGGGAGAGTTTAACCGTCCTCTTAGATCTTGCTGTTACTTCTGCACATCAGGTGTCACCATTCACCTTTTGGGGACCCAGACGCTAGAATTCCGAAGCTCCGAAAGTGCCTCACAGAACTAGCAAGTTACCAAAGCAAATCTTGCACTTGGGGCTTCTGATTCTGTGTCCTGGGTCCTCCCCCTTCACCTGGTGAGTGTCCTGAACCCTGTGATCCTTTCAGAATACCCTCGAACCGAGTCGGAATGGGAAAACAGCTTTGCCTTGAAGATGTTTCTTTTCCAGTTTGTCAACCTAAACAGCTCTATCTTCTACATCGCCTTCTTCCTGGGAAGGTAAGTTGACTGCATGCTTGCCAGTTTTGTGCAGCACAAAGCACCACCAGCAGTTTCCCTTGCCAATTAGTTCACAGAGGGCACAAAATCTTGACCCCTGCCTTGGGAGACTTTGCTAATCAGCATTCGTGTGCATTCTTGCTCAGAGGACTGGCAGCCAGAGCCAATTAGAGTTGGCACCAAAAATAAAATCTGTGTAGTTATTCTGTTAGGGAAGAAAAGAATGTTTGTGTCAGCCTGCATTACAATTCCTTAATCTGCCCATCATCGTTATGTCCTGTTTTCACGTTCCTGTAAAACGTGGCAGGGTTGGGGATGCACGTTGGCTTCATGGATGTGTTTTGCTCTGTGACCACCACTCTGCCCATGCCTGGGAAGCCTCCTGAAGGTGGAACATTTTGAACCCAGCCATTCAGTACGGAGTGGTCATATTCATTAACTTGGTCGCCACGGCGTTAAACACACGTGGGAAGCATTCAGTGCCATGGGGCTGCTGCGTCTGTCCTCCCTGACCCACGGGTACTGAGTTCCAGCATAGCTTGTTCCTTTTCAAGCCTGGTGCTTTGATGTCGCCTAAGCATCTCAAAAGTCACCCTGACCGGGGACAAATCGCACCCATCAGCCTTATGTCACCCACGCACGTGCTCGAGCAGTGGGTTAGCAGGTGTTCTTCATTCAATGGATGATGAAAATGCTTCTTCTTTTTCTTAAGATTTGTAGGTCACCCTGGGAAATACAATAAACTTTTTGACCGCTGGCGGCTGGAGGAGGTGAGTGGCCATGGGGGAGCCCGTGAAGAAGGGGTCCTTGTAGAGAAGAGTTCACTGGGCCCCCAAAAGACCCAGCTACATCTTTTCTTAAAAATGATGATGTCTGAAAAGAATAAACTCTGAAATTCTGAATCCAGCTTTTTTAAACCTTTCTGTCCATTTCTGCCACTTACAGCTTAGCTCCCCTGGGTTCATCTGCCCTTTGGGAATTGTTACTCTCTCAACCATCAGACATGTTAGGTTTTCTTTAAGAAGGGAAGTTTTAGTCCCAAGAAATCTCATTCAAAATATCACCATATAAACTTGTAGATGTAGCTTTTAATTTTGATGCTGTTTCTTATAACACTGCTTAATATTTTCTAATAAAAATGCCACCATTCTTAATGTCTTTCTGGACTTGTGTCACATCAAAACATGTCTTCTCACTTCTATAAACTAGAAAGAAGGTAATAGTTTACTAATTTAATAACTGTTAAAAATTATTAGTATTTTTGCCCATTAAGACTATTCTGAGATAAATGTGGTGGTGCTTTCCTGTAACCCCAGGGCTTGGGAGGCTGAGGCAGGAGGATCACCATGAGTTCAAGGTGAACCTAGTGAATTCAAAACCAGTCTGAACTAAATAGATAAATAAATAATCACTACTTTTTTCTAAATTGAAGTCACAAATTAATAAAAAGTACTTTTTACTTAGCCAAATACGATTATGGAATTATCTGTATCTTATAATTGTATTCATTTTTAGACTCCTCACTGATCAGAATGTGTTTTCCTTCTCTAACTCAAAATTATTATTCTAAGGATTCTAATGTAAAATCCTCATTAACAAAAAGTCACAATCTAGAGATAGGCTAAGAAAAGATTTCCAAAAAACTGTGGTTGAGGTAATTCTAGTTCCCATCAAAAATCCTCCTCAGAACCCAGGGTGGCTGCACTGAAGTTATCTTCCCACATTATTTTGGATATTGATTGTAATACATGGCTAAAGCCTCAAACTTCCTAAGAAGATCAGTTGATCTTGTGTTACCATAAAATGGGGCTCGAGTGCTAATTAAAGTTACTTCTGATTCTCGGTCCTTTATTTAACGCTCCAGAGTATCTATTTTCTCTTCACAAGTTGGCAGTGTAATACTCAGATGGACACATTGCTTATGGATCAGGGTTAATTCCCACAACGTGCTTAGCCCAGCCCTTAGCTGAGGAAGGCTCTCCACCAGCTGCTCCTGACAATCATTGCATCCCTGCTTCCAAAGATAGACTAAGACCTTTCACGATTCTGGAACTGCTTGGAAATCCCCAAGTTCAAGTCCCATTTTTATTCTTTTTTGACCCAGTATTATGCCCACATCTGACAAAAGTCTGGCCACTGCCCACATGGGAACCAAAGGCTGGACTGTAAAGCCACAGTGACTCACTAAGCAGTCACATCGCCTCAGTTCTTGTAACTTGTAATATTTGTAGTACCCAACAGGAGCTGTGGAGAGTGGGGTGGGATAAATAGATGGTTGTAGCCAGGTAGCTTGTATGTTGGTGACAATTTAGGAGCTACTATCACCAATAATTTGCTTACTTGGATATTCTTATTCTTAATTATGTCATTCTTGGAAACTTGGATTGGTCTTTGAAAGTCCCAGAAAAATTAACACTGGTGTTAAGAACAATGTTTCCTAACCATCTCCGAAATTTTCCATACTGTCTGTGAGATGTGTAGTGGTCAGAGTCTCCAATTTAAAAAAAAAAAACAAAACAGAAATAATAAATGTCGATTTGTGATTTACTGTAGAAATCCTGAAGTGTAGTTAGCATGAAGTGTGATTGCAAACTGCAGTGAGTGTCTAGAAACTGTTAGGATACAACAGCTTTAATCCCCTTGCTTCTCTCCTTCACTCTGAACGCTCTTACGCTGTCACTTTTGAGTCACTTTCCACAGCAGTTCTGGAGTCCTCTCTCCTAGCTGCCTTAGCTAAGCTGTCCTGATGCCTGGATGTCCCAAGTCAGTGTGAAATTGTTGCTTTCGCAGAGCTCAGTGGGGCTGATATGTGATGAGGCAGAGGATGCACTGTCTCCTTCCCACAGCCTGGCGCTCGGCAGCAATGGTTAGATGTTCTTTCCTGCTCTTGTACAGATGCAGAAGAGGACTTCCAGAACTGCTACAGGAGTGGGCAAGATGTTGGGCTGAGTGTGTGTCTGAAGGAAGGGGACTTTTGAGGAGGAGGAATAACTGCCAAGTCTGTTACACTATAATAATTTTTAAAAATTTAAATATTTACCACATTTCAATCACACTGCCTGTCCATAACGAAAGATAAAGGTCAGCCACTTGAATGCATGCATACGGCAAATATTTACAAACATGTGCCATAGGCCGGACTTCTGATGGGCAGCGTGAGGTGTGCAGATGCAAAGGTCCTTTCACCTCCCTGATGGCGTGAGGAGTGCTCAGAAATAAGACATAACCAGGAACCAGCACGTATTTTCTCCTTGGATTCCAATCCTCTGCATTCTAATCCTGTCCCATTCAAAGCAAGATCCTAATGTCTATCAATCTCAGTTCTTTCTTTTGTTAACTGCTGATAAAAATAGTTATCTCAGTATTGGTGATTGGTAGATAAATTGAATGGTGGTGTGAAATACTAGGCACAATTAACAGTAACCTTTATAAAGAAAGAAAAGTGCCACAACCACATTAGAGCGTATGAATTGGCATTGCTGGACTTGTGAGTCTTACACTATTAGCTATGCGATAGCTCACAAAAATAACTTTGCTAAATTCAGTATGGAACCTGTATGCTTGATGGCCTACACTCTTGGAGTGCTAGCACTGTCCGGGAATCATTGTTAAGTGCTCTCCATACTTTTATTCATTTACCCCTCAGAACAGTTCTTTTATATCATCATTTTACCCATGCAGAAACGAAGGTGTAGAGAAGTTATGCAGTTTGTCTAAGTTAATGCAAATATTCTTTTCAAATATTACAAGTTACAAGAACTGAGGCGATGTGACTGCTTAGTGAGTCACTGTGGCTTTACAGTCCAGGTTCTGACTACTGACCTACCCCACCACCTCTGGGAGACCATGGGGCATGATCCAGGGTGTGAGGAAAACGTACTTCGCTACGAGGTGGTTGTCTGCTCACCAGCTCACACATGTAGCTAGATTGAGAGAAAATTCTGCGGGAAGCAGAGTGAAGGACTCTACCTCCAGCTTCATTATCTGCAGAGCACAGATCTTCACACCTGCCTGGTGGGGTCAATGAAAAAAAATAGGTGAAGGCATTCAGCCCAGCCCAGCTGCCCATGACCATCGCAGGGTTTGGAGGGGTGCTCCGGAGTGAATACCTGGGTATTCTACACACTTCTCATGCCCTTTCACACACGCTAAGCAAGGGCTACTTTAACCAAGAGAATTTTAGCATATGGAAGCAGTGCCTTCAGCCATCATTATGTGAAAGGCAGATTACCAATGTAAAACCTTCAGGTCCTTTGCCTTTCCCTATAAATCATAAACTTGTCAGGGCTCCAATTCAAGTTTCAGCAGAGTCATAAATAGCCTGTCTGCCAGCCTCTTGGTGTGGCTTGTCCTTCATGGGGATGATCCAATCACAGTTTCCTGTTCCATACAATAACAGGCCATAGTTGGGGGTATCAAATACATTTGGTAAGCAGAACTTACTCTTAATGTGGTAGAAAAGAGCAGTGCAGCCGGGGATATAGCTCAGCGGCACAGCACCTGCCTGCCAAGCACAAGGTTGTGAGTTTGATCCTTGGTACCAAAAGAACAGTGCTTTAGGGCAAGGAGCCACTGCTTCTTCTCACAGGACTAGCTGATACTGCATGACCTTGTGCAAATCAGTTTGCCTCTAAGGTTCTCTACAAAGGCACAGTGCTTCGGTTTGCAGCTGTGATCTATTACCTGCCACTGTGCCTTGGTCATTACTGCATACGGCAATGGGATAGAGATGCAGAGATTAGAGGTCCTAAATACATCCTAAAGAGGCTTGCTTGGATCTCTAAATTCAGACCTCTCTAAGAGAGAAACACGACCGCTAGCAAAGTCTCTCTCTGACTTGGATTAGAGAGTTAAGTCACTGGCCGGGAACAGGAAAAGTAGGCTATTTCAAATTCTAATTATGTGTTCCTTTTGAAGTCCCACTGGTACTAATTTGATAGAAATAGAAACTGTAGATCAAAGCGGTACTGATCGACTGCCATCTTCATGAGCAGGACACGGACCCATTTCTAAAGAAACAGACCTACGCTTCCCCCACACGAATAGCTTCCACAGTGCACATTTTTAATTAAAATGTATTGGTTATATTTTCTATTGAAATCTCATTTGTGTGGGGGCAGCATCTTATTAAACATCTAGAAAAGCAGAGACTCACAGAGACTTACAAGCCACGATTTCGTGGCTTGTATTTCTGACTTAAGCATACATGAATATATATAGATAATCCTTTCCAAGTGGTAGATTTTTCTTCACACTTTCTCATTTTAAGAGTGGGGTAGACTCAATGCCTGATTCCTAAAGATAGAAAAGAAACATAGAAAACTGAGTAACTTTCCAATGAAAACATATCGGAGAAATACTGCATGGACCAGATCGTGAAGGCTGGCCTCACCAGCAGGGTTCTCAGAGAATGCCACACCAATAGGATCCAAACTGGCACTTCCCAGCTGTGATCTGCCTCCTAAGTCACACAGCCCCAGGTGTAACCTCAGGAAAGCATTAGACAAACCCAGATGGGGTGACTTTCCGTAGGACACCTATCCATCCGGCTGCCTTCAAATCTGTTAAGTGTATGGAAAACTGTTCAGACCAGAGGAAGCTGGTCTGCATGTCACAGGGTAGACTTGAGGATCATCTGGGAGCAGAAACAGGATCCCTGGCACTGTGTGAGGAGCCTGGAGCTCGTGCATCACGACGTCCTGGTGTTGCTCCTTCAGCTTTGACGAATATCCCATGACGATGCCAGGAGCAGAGCATGGGTGTAGAATGCTCTCAAGCTGCTCTGCAAACTTCCAATAAGTCTGAAGTCATTCTGAGACAAAAATACATGGCACCACAATGTATTGTGATGACTCTGTCACTGGATTAGAAATTAGCAGCTACTAGTCTCCTGCCTGACTGCCAAGCCACACTGAATATTCTGTAGCATTCATTAAAGGAGATCAGGTCTGAAACAGAGCCTGGCAGACCATAAGTACTGATTGAAAGGTCAATTTCTTATGCTTGCTGTTATTTTTAGCATCAGCGTTGCATTATAATCCCTGAAAAGTTCCCCAGGATTCCATTTCTTTCTTGTTTCCCCCCTCTAAGTGTCAGGTGGTATAACCCAGTTTTAGAGCTGATTGTATAATCTGAAGGTGAGAAATTCAGGGTCCGCTGGGAAGGAGCAAGAGTGTCATTACTCTTCTCATTCTGTTCCAGTGCCACCCCAGTGGCTGCCTGATAGACCTCTGCCTGCAGATGGGAGTCATCATGTTTCTGAAGCAGATATGGAACAACTTCATGGAACTGGGCTACCCGTGAGCATGTTGCTTTTGAACTTGCCTTACCCACACTGCCAAGGGTAGAGGTCAGAGGTGGAGTGAGGAGTGCTTAGGAATTCAGGCCTGGAGATTAGACAGATGAGCCCAAGCCTCCCTTCTGCTGCTTATTCCATAGGGGACTGTAGGTTAGCAAACCTGCCTGAAGCTTTAGAATAACTGAAGAGATTACAGGAAGTAATGGGTACTGGGTAACTTGATCAACATGTTTGTGCTTAGTGTTACTTCCAAAGCACTGATGAGGCTGGTGCTCAAGATGGAAATGATTCTCTGGTTTCTATGAGTTGCCAGCAGACCAAGGTAGCTGGTGTCACTGTTAAAAAGAGACAGCCTCCAGCCCTGGGAAAGAACACATCAGAGACAGAACCACAGGTGAGAAGAGGCTGGTATTTTTTAACAATACCTCCCACCCTTCTTCAGAGTCAGTAGAACATTATTAATTGTAATGGTTCCACAGTGATAGTGTTCTATATTTGCCCTTTTGGATGATGCCAGCAGAGATGTTGAAAAGCCCTGTTTTAGACACTAGAGTGTACTTTAATCAAAATCCAGTTAGATACAAGGTATTTAAAACAATGAGACCTCATTGACCAAGGTTAAAATGAAACTAGATTGAGTAACTTCTTGATGGGGAAAAGAACTGATTAGTTGGTTGAGAATATAAATATCTTAGTCTCAAAGATTAACTTTTACTTGATTTTTTTCCTTGTTGGCCCACAAATTATATTAAAGTGCTCCTGAGCAGAAACCAGGGGACTGGAAAAGTGACATTAACCCCAAAACCTGCCATAAAGCAGTGGTTACATTGTTTCAGTCTTAGAACAGGACTGCAGAGCTATGGGGATCTAGGTCTAATCCCTTTCTGTACTGCATTAGTTTTGCCTGAAATGTGTCTTGTTTCTCTGAAGCACTCTTTCCATCTGTAAGTCAGATTTGGGAAGGTAAATGAGATGTTCCAATGAATATTAAACATTAATCACAAATGACAAAACATTTTGTGAAGAAATTTTCATATTGGTCATCAGTATCTGAAACAGATGAAAGCAAATCTCTTCTAAATGAAGAGAGCATGGGAGGGAGAGGCAGGTAGAGGATTGGGGACCCCAATCCATTTGTCACACCCTCCCCTGTCCTTGACTGACAGCTTCAAAATGAACAGTTTGGGAAGCATCCTAAGAAAGCACCTGCAGAAGTTAGACATCTGTGTGTGCAGACTCTGGTGTGCTGGGTGTTTAATAGACATAGTAGGTATTTTTCTGATGCTAGGGTAAACCCAGGGCACCATTCATGCTAGGCCAACGTTCCTCCCCTGAGCTACCAGCCAGCTGCACCAGCCTGTCAGAATCCATTAGTTATCCTTCCAGAATGGAGAATGATGCTTTGTCATGGCCTTTGGCCCCCAACACACATGATGTTCTTGTCACGCATTTCCACCATGGCCTTGCTCAAAAGTCCTCCAGGGTCACATCCATCAAGTAGTGTAGGCACATTAACACGGGGACATCATGCTGGGGTTTTTGCAACACCTAAGAGAGAGCCTCGTGGAAGGAAGCTCAGCAGGGGTGGAATCAGTCCTTAAAGCAGGTTTGGACAGTGTGGCCCAGGAAATATTGAGTTCTGAGAAATAAAGGGCTCAGACGTAATAGCAACATGGAACATACAAATTTAAGTACTTTTACAGGTGGGAGTGGAGAAGAAATTATGGACCTGCAAGCTTAAGTGACTGATACCAGCGTATCTTAGTGTATGGGTGACTTAATTCCTGATACGTGTCTGGGAAGAGTTACAGAATGTTAAGAGCATCAAGGAATGGAGGGAAGGTGGAGAGAGGAGAAGGGAAGAAGTAAAGAACGGAGATACAGTGCACATGTCTCACATATGCCCCAACTCCTCACAAGTGAATTCATCATGCATCTCAAGCATGCCCTCATGAAGAAGGAGCATCCTCAAGAACACATAACCTAGTCCAGTATTCGAGTCTGGCCTAAATCCCCAATCTCCCAGAAGAGTGTATGGTGAAGGCTTACCTTATGAGACAAGTGGTATGATTTTAGGGTTCCTGAGGGATCAAACCCTCTGTGGCAGTGACAAGGTCTAAGACAAAGAGCTTCTCTGTGCTGCCATATTTATTAGGTCCAAACAAAGAGAAGGGATACTGAGGAAAGCTTGGGGAATGAGCAGGTCCTTGGGAGTCACTTTAAAGACTTCTCCAAGTAGTAAATTATGTCAGTTTAGGAGAACTGTCTCATCTCCATGATGACATTTATGGTAGGAGGGAGACAGCAGGAGTGAGATGCATGTAGCTGGGGTCTCTGTCTGCTTACTAGATGTTTGAGCCAGGTGTCCTCAGCTGTGGCCTTATCTTGCCCTTTGAGGCATCTCTGGCCTCACAGGCCACTACAGACCTCAGCCAGGACCAGTGATTCAGAGAGGTTCACTTACCATATATGAATCAGCTCCTGTCTCTAGGCAAGGGGCTGAGGCCTTGGACAGACTCACAGATACACATAGAAAGCCAAATAGTTAATTTTAAACCCTGCTCAGAGCCTCTTGGTGGTGGTCTCCAACAGTTCAAGAGTACCTGGTGGGTCTGTTTTCTCTGTGAACAATCAACTGTTCACCAGATGTTGGAACAAGAGTTCACAAGTCCTTGGTCTGCCCTGTGGTGCAGGTTGATCCAGAACTGGTGGTCACGACATAAAATCAAGCGTGGAGTACAAGACGCCTCCATCCCCCAGTGGGAGAATGACTGGAATCTGCAACCCATGAACATCCACGGGCTGATGGATGAGTACCTGGAGATGGGTAAGAAAGGGCGTCTGGCAGGACACCAGGCCTTCTGGATGTTGTCTGTGCATTTCACCTGGGTTTTGCTTCTACGGAGAAAATAATGGTTGAAATCATCTAGAGTATTCTGACGGATGTCTGCACTCGTATCTCAGTGAACACAAAAGTATGAAGCAGTGTGGAAAAGGCTCACACCCCTCATTCTCTGAGAGCTGAAGCCTTCGACCAAAATGAAGTTTTCTCCCACAATGGAGCCTTAGCTTATTCTGATTAAACAAAATCGAGCCCGATCAGTTCCTCTGTAAAGAAATATACCACTTCACCCAAAGAAAGTGATAATTACTTTTCACAGTACATCCGTTTTATTGGTCCTGTCTGAGTCTAAGTTTGAAGACTCTTATGTATGTATATTAAGGAAATAGTGATTCCTTTTCCAACTGTTAGAATCAGAGGGTGTTGATGTAATAACCACTTTCCTTGGGGCTGAGTTTTCTCACCTGTAAGAAGAGCAGAAAGATTCCTCTAGGTTCCTCCAGTCCTTTCCGGAGCCAGGTGTTTTCCAGCAGGGGCTCTTCTTTCTGCTGCTCAGTCCTCCCCCTCTTTTGCTCCTCCCCCTGCACTCCTCCCCTCACCTCCTCCTCATCATCCTCTTCTCCTTCCTTCCTCCCCTTCTTCCTCTCTCCCTTCTCCTTTCCCCTTGTCTTCTTTCTCTTTCCTTTACACTTCATTACATAGTGGTGAAAAGCAGGTCGAATTTAAGTCCATTCTGGGGCTGGGGACTTAGCTCAGTGGCATAGGTGCCTGCCTGGCAGGGGTTGTGAGTTTGACCCTGGGTACCAAACAAACACACAAACACAATTTAAGTCCACTTAGATCTGCTTTTAACATTGCTTCCCACTCCTTCAGGAAGATTAATTGATACGTGTGAGCTAAAGTTTTCCCCACTGTGAAATGGGATGAGCGTGTTTACTTTGCAGAGCTCTTGCGAGGATTCGAAGGGGTTTATACAAGTCTCCCCACTCATGCACAGGAAGCCCCCTTCAGCTGGCTGACAGCGTCTGCAGCGCTAACTGTCTCATCTGCCCTTCCACAGTTCTGCAGTTTGGTTTCACCACCATCTTCGTCGCAGCCTTTCCCCTGGCCCCTCTTCTGGCTTTGTTAAACAACATCATTGAAATCAGGCTGGATGCTTACAAATTTGTCACCCAGTGGCGGAGACCTCTGCCAGCCCGGGCCACTGACATAGGTGAGACTCAGAAGCGAAATGGTGTTGGCACTGCTGGGGTCCAGAAGTGTGGGGTCAGGGAATCCTCTGTCATCAGCAACGTGGCAGGGTGAGAAGAGTGACTTCTAGGAAGTGACTGAGACAGGATCTGTGTCCCTGTGGAAGGGCCAGGGGTCAGGGGCTCATTTTCCCCACTTTTGCATCACACTGGGACATGGACTCTGGCTCCTCCAGAACATGCAGCAGAAAGGCCTCATCCTGCAACAGGAGAGGGCGCCTCCATGACACCCACCAAGCTATTGCACAGTCAAGCATTCCTGAGCTGCAGCACAGGGAGAAACACACTTCCATTCCTTACAAGTCACCTGTCTCGGTTGTCTTGTGTGGCCACACAAATGGACTAAGACCACATGGTTTGATAAAACTTGACATCCTGTGAGCTTCTACGGGGGGATCCTGTCCAACCTTAGCAAAACAGACTGGCTAACAAAAACAAAATGAGTCCATACCTCATGGAGAGGAATTTTGCATTAGACTTTGTGCTTCATACACGCTTCATACACTACATCTCTCTCTCTCTCTCTCACTGGATCCCTCTTATGTGGCAGGTAATCATCACATCAGTTTGAGCCTGCATCCTCGGTCAAGGGATACTCACTGCTAAAAAAAGAAAAATACATCCCTGTGAATGTGCAGGATTCAGTAAATTTTCTTCATCAATATCGCTCATCTCAAAATGAATCAGTCTAATTCACTTTAACAGACTATCCAAGTGAAGATGGATGGCAAACTTTATAGTCCTTTCCTCACACTATTTTCCCACCATAAGTGCTAATAAATACTCAAAGATGGGTATAAATGTAAACATAGAGTTGTTTATCTGTTACATGTCTAAATGTGTGTGTGTGTATGTAGTATAAATCTCTAAACATAGGCCTACTGGACTAAAACACACATGTTTTAATTTTTTTTCTTTACATGTTCTAATTTTAAAAGATGTCATTTCAATAATATAAAAAGATTTCTGTTTTCATTGTTTTTCATACTCTTTAAATAACATTAGATGTTATAATACTTTCAAGTTTCTGGAAATCTTTTTTATCTTCAATAAGCTCTTTTGAAGGACATTTCTCTGAATAGAGATGGGAAACTTTTTACTTTAGTTACTGGTTATTTACATTTCCCTATAAAACTGTTCATTTGCATTCTGCTAATTCCTCCTATGAGGTATTTCATTAACATTTTAGGATCTTTTATATAGAGGCATCCCCCCAGGCTAAATTTTTAACTGAATTTATATCTGTATTTTAAAAAATGGGGTTTTATTTGCATGCACTCCAGAATTGGTTTGTATGGATTCTGACTTCTACTTTGACATTAGGTACCATTTGAAATCTTTTTATTTTATTCTTAGTCATTTGTTGCAGGTCTGTTATAAATAATTCAGAAGACAGGAGAGGGGAGAAGAAAGCTCCTGCCCAATACTCTTTAGCACAGTTGAGCCTTTTTTCAGGAATTTTGTTTTTCTCATCAGTACTTTTAAAGATGTGTTTCAGCCTCTCTGAAACATTAGTTTGGGCTCTGATCACTAATATTGATTTTATACATAGCTTCAAGAGCTGTTTATCTGTCTGAGAAAAATCTATTACTTTTGTTGCTTTAGCAAGTTCTACATAAGAGATTTTGGAATAGTTCAGACATGTGAGCAAGTGACATTATTACAAGCGAGAGCTGGTCCTGAAAACATTCTGGACATCAGGCCACCCTTTCCAGATGAGGGCGTCCCTCCCTTTGAGAGAAGGGAGTAAATAACAAATGGCATATCCACCATCGGAGTTACTTAGGATGCAAACAGTGGTCCAAGGTTGTGCACCAACAGAAGCAGAGCATGCTATCCAAAATAAAACTGATGAAAAGGCTTAAACTTTTATTCATTGTCCTTCATCTTTCTCTCACCAGGTATCTGGCTGGGCATTCTGGAAGGAATTGGCATCCTGGCTGTGATCACCAATGCGTTTGTCATTGCCGTTACCTCAGACTACATCCCACGTTTTGTCTATGAGTACAAGTACGGCCCGTGTGCAAACCATGTAGAACAGAATGAAAAGTAAGGTTGAAATTTACACGTTGCCTTGGTACATTGTTCCATTAGTAATTAAATGAGAACTTATTGGGAGGTTTTGTGCTGTGACTATTAAAGGTAATGTTCCCTGCATTTGTAATGAGTGTATTAGATGAAATCCAGTGAGGTTAAAAAAAAAAAAAAAAAAAAAAAAACAACAGAAACTTTCCAGCAAGTAATCTTAGAGTTTTATTTGTCAAATGCGTCACTGATATCAAAATGCTGAGAACGTTATACTGTAGTTAGAAGTCAAATTCTAGAACAGAAAGAGACCTCAGAAACCACCCAGTGTAGTTTGCTTGCTGTGCAGATGGAGACATTCAAACCTACGTGTTAATCAAGTTGCCAAAGGGAACAAAGAGTCTGCTGTGGGAAGATAAAGACCATCAAGAAACTAATCTATATTTCTACAGACTTAGAAAGGAATTTATAACTAGGATCTAAGGACACTGAAAATCTTGCACTCAACCTGTCTGACATGTATTTTCAGTTAAAATTTAAACACACCCCTTAAAGAAAAGCTTCTCGGGGGCTGGGGGTTTAGCTCAGCGGCGTAAGCACCTGCCTTGCAAGCAGGCAGTCGTGAGTTCGATCCCTGGTACCGATAAAAAGGAAAAAGACAAAAAAAAAAAAAAAAAGAAAAGAAAAGAAAAGCTTCTCAACCTCTGTACTATTGATGGTGGAAACCAGAAATTCTTTTTACCTGACAGATACCAATACCAAGTGCTATATTTCTCAAACCAGGATACCCCAAAAATATTTGCAGACATTGTCTGATATCCACTGGGGGACATATCCACCTGGTTTGGAGCAAGAGCTTTAGTGATACGTGTTGTTTCAGATGTCTCTTTATTGAAAGATGGGTTTGGGGAAGACTGCAAGAGGGCACTGTATTTGAGAACAGAGAGGCATTGGAGTCATTTCAAGTGCTGTGGGTGGAGCTCAGCCTTGAATGTGAAGGTGGTGGCAGGAGCTAAAGGACTGGCAGAGGCGGCTGCAAGCACATGACACCTCATGGAGTCTGTGGTCACAGGTCTTGTGATTAGAGGAGCTGTCTGAGAAGCTCATGAGCTGTAACACACTATGTAGACATACAGTCTTTTCAGCATGAATAGTGTAAAGCCAAAAACTTCTTTTTCTTAGTTCAGGATGTTCTAGAAGCAGATTTTTAAGAATTTGAAATGTGTTGGCTTGTTTGACAGCCCTGGTTTTGGGGGAGTCTTGTTTGCTAGTGTCTTGACTGCCACCTAGTGGCCAGAGGAAATAGCATTGGCTGGCTATTTCCTTTCTGGAACCTGTCTTTCAAGCAGGATCAGCTCTTTGGCATCAGTGACTAGGGAAAAGAATTAACTTCAAACAAAGGAGGCGGGGAGTGTACATGCCACATATCCAGAGGATATTATTTAATATTACTAAATATTTTCCCAGTATGCTTAGCAGCTACATTGGAGTGGATTCATTTCAGTTAAAAACAGTCAGCGTAGGAGACGCTGCACAGGAGAGACAGCTGTTTGCAAGAGAGTGGGAAAAATGATGTATTATGGGCTGGAGGATGAACAGGAAAGAGGAATCCCATGCCAGTGCTTTGCTGCCATGGACACCTCAGGTTTGAATGTGGTAGACCTGTGTTTGAATCCAGGTTCTAGCCACCGTTTGTCCAGGGACAGCGGTCCTTCACACGTGATCTGCAGACATCCTACAGGAAATCAAGACTATTGTCAGACTGACACTAAGATATCATTTGCATTTTAGATGTTCTCATGTTTGTGTTGATGCTGCAAAAACAGTGGTAGGTGCAATTTCTGGCGCCTTTGTGTAACCGGAGGTACTGGCACCAAGCAATTTTAGCCAGGATTATATTTTTCATTACTGTCTGTCTATCTTTAAAATGTCTAGGAAATTCTGAACGCCTTCGAGAAAACATTCTTAGCTATAAATTTTGTAAACTCTCTACCCATGAATAAATAAATGGCTTTTGAAATCGTAAGTCAGATGGATAGAACTTTCTGCCACATACCAAAGGGTGATGTCTATCTCAAAGAAATCACTGTGTGTAATGGTTGAACTTTCAAACTGAGCAAAATGTTTTTCAGCAGGAAATAGTGATTGCCAAGTTTATCATTCAGACTTCAGAACTCAGCAACCACTGTTTTACATACTGCACAAAATCAACACTGTTCTGAGGAAAATAGTTGTCATTATTTGTTGCTATCAATAATCAATAATCAAGTTCATACTTTGAAGTGAAAAGTTACAGTTATGGATAACTTTTATTTGCCACTATAAACTTAAACATTTTTGAGTTCTCACAACTGTTTTTTCATAAAAACAAATGGTGATTTAGTAATGGTGATTTTTTTTCATAATCTGTGGCAAAAATATATCAGCATTTTAGAGGTTCTGAATAATTTAGGCAATTAATCCAGGAAATAAACATCTCCTAACTGACCATATTTGATGTTATAGAACCATGCATGGATCAAAGATGATTTTTACAGTATGAAATACACCTATAGATTTTAATGTAAGTTCATAATGATCTCACAGACAGTGGAATATGAGCCCACATTACAACAAAAGCTTAAAAACTGCCAATATAGATCCTTAGTTCACAAAATTTCCACAATTCTCTGAAATACTACTAAAATAAACCTTCTTGTTCCAACTGTGTATCTATCGGAGGCAAGATTTTCTCTTTAACATTCCAATCAAAGCAGCATATTACAATAAATTAAATATAGAAGAAAGTGTGAGAATCTCACAGTCTTCTGAAGGGATTTGCAAACAGGTAAATAACAGTGTCTCCCTCACTATCTTTTCATTTCTTTTGGAAAATACAGCCACTGTGACACTCTTATCATTTAATTTATAATGGGCTTGTAGCTATTTTTAAATGACTTCTTAGATAAAAATTTTCTAAATTTCTGTTTTAATTTCCAACACGTTAACCTATCAATGGATATACCCAGGTGAAGAGCTCTTTCAGGTGCTTAATACTTAAAAAAAATAAAATAACGGAATCTGTACATCTTTATAAAAAATTTGAGAATTATAGCCCTGGAGAAAGTTACCTTGTCCCTCGAAACCTTAACTCTTTAATCAATATGAAGGACCTAATCATACTCATATTTTAAAGTTGCAAATGTCACCGTGTCCAACATTTCCTTTTGTGTATCTGGAACGCTAAACCAATGACTCTCCTTTTCCTCCAATGCCCTCTTTTCCACCCTTTCTACCCTCTTAGCCAGGCAGCCAGTTATCACCACCACCTCCTTAGACACACGGGCCTTGTTTGTTTGGCTTTGGTTGCTGTGTTGTTCATTGCTGTTCTTTATTGGAGAAGCTCATCACATCTTTCTCCTCAAGCCTCACCTGCTGAGACACCTTTATGATTCTTAGCTTTCTGCCTCTTCACTTTTGGAGTGCTCAAAAACTCAATCTATGGACTTCTTCTCTTTATCTATAAAGTTTTCATTTATCCACTTAACTTGTTTTCAGTTTTGTGAATCTAATCTCACTTCTGAATGCCAGACTTGAGTATTCCACTGTTAGCATCCCCTCTGCTACAGTAGCTCTAGTAGAGGGGTCAAACTCACCGTGTCCAAAATTCAACTCCAAATCTCCCCAACCTCATCCCTAAATTTCAGGCTTCCTGTTGTCAACTGGCTGCAATTTCATACTCACTTAGGCCAAAGTTCTTTCTCCACCACATAATATTTAGTGGAAAACACAAGCCACACATGGCAGATCACTTCTGCAAGCCACGGATTACGCAGAGGCTTCGGCTTGATGTTTAAAATCAGTCACATAATTAGTCCATTCTGCAGTGAAGAAGTCGGAGGTTACAATATTTTCCCCAAGAAATCCAATTTCTTCAGTCCCATTTGTTGAAAAGGCGGTTCTTTCATCACTGGGTCCCAGTGATGTGTTGGTCACATATCAAGTGAATGTTCACTTGGGATCTGTATTTGGTCTTGCTTGTCTTTTCCATTGACCTCGCTTTCTTTATACCAAAACCACAGTGTCTTAGTAACTGTAGTTTTCCATTAAGTAATTAAGTGCCATGATCTTCTAGACTTTTCCTTTTGGCGCTGACTTTGTTACCTTAGATCCCTTTCATTTGCGCATAAACATTCAACTCAGTGTATCAGATAGTATTTTAAAAGTGAGAGAACTTAGACTTTAACAGTGATCCTTAAACAAATTTGCTCCATTCATTTATTTCAGCTTCCATTTAATTCTCTGAGAATTTACTTTTAGGTTCTAGACATTGTTCCAAGCTTTATACCCTGATACTCAATATTTGTGTTATCGCTATGAAAAGTATTTTTTAATTCTTGTTTCCTATTGGTTCACTATTAGTGTATATAAATGGTTACTTTTTATAATGACCTTGTAGCTATCAAATGACATGGCAAGATTCAATCAGCATTCAAATAATCTCTAGGTTATGTTATACTTCCTGTATACAATTACACCATATATCAGTGATGACATTTATGCATTCTTTCTTTATGTTAATTCCACTGATGCCTTTTCTGTCTGGACTATATTGGACAGAAATGTTGAGAATGAAGACATCTGTCATGTTCTCGAGCTAAGAAGGAAGCATTCAAAATACAGCATTTAGGGTCTCTCTATTAAATGTGATATTAACTACAGGCTTTTATGCAGGTATTCTTTCTCAGACTAAGATCTTAGTAGATTTTTAGCTTGTTGAATGGTGTTGATCATGATTGAAAGTTATGTTTTATCAAATTTTTATTTACTAATACGATCATATACATATTTTCCATCTTTTTTCATTAATGTCAAAATGTGTGGGAATATTTGCATTTTTAATATAACACAATAAGAGACACATCATGGTTAATCATGTTTAAAATACTCCCCTTCGAACTTATTTATGCCATGGCTGTTGTCACTTTCAAAAGCAGTTCTGGATGTCTGCTTTTGTTGGTGTCTTTACAAGTTGTGATAAAAAGTACGATGCCTGTCACTGCTGAGTACCACCCAGGGAAAGGGCAGACTTGTACTTCTGGTGTGCACCAACCACATGCTGAGTGAAAACTCAAATGAAAGGGAAAGAGAGGAGCTGCTGGGAGGAAAATGGCAGAGGAGAGTCTGTCTCCTGCAGTGCAGTCACAGACGCAGTGAGAATCAGGGGATGGGGTAAGAAAGTCTAGTTGCTAGGACTTGGTAGTTGGAATGGCGATGGTGACATTTATAAGACGCAGTCCTTTGTGATAAGGGACCCTAATGGACAGATAGGACTCTTGACCCAAAGAATACTTTTGTTTCCTGCAGTTGCTTAAAGGGATACGTCAACAACAGCCTGTCCTTCTTTGACCTGAGCGAGCTCGGCATAGGGAAGTCCGGCTACTGCAGGTTTGTAACTCATAGCTGCCCTTCTGGCCTGGGCTCCGCTGCATGACTCCTTCCTTCTAAACGCCAATGAGGCCCTGTGCGCTCCTTTGGCATTTTGGCGAATCAAGAATATTTGAGACAGAGTCCAGGAATTTAGCTCAGCAGCATAAGCACCTGCCTTGCAAGAGGGGGTCGTGAGTTCAATCCCCAGTACCAAAAAAAAAAAAAAAAAGAAAGAAAGAAAGAATATTTGAGGCTTCCACACTTTGATCCCTGTCCTCACAGCCTTTGCTTTCCGTGGATTCCAGGTACAGAGACTACAGAGGTCCCCCTTGGAGTTCCAAGCCCTACGAGTTCACCCTGCAGTACTGGCACATCCTGGCTGCCCGGCTGGCCTTCATTATCGTGTTTGAGGTTAGTCAGGAACCAAATAGAGAATTGTTATAGATAGATAGATGATTTCTAGTGGATCCATCACTAGGCTTTTTGAAATGAATTCTTCATTGACTTCCAAAAAATCAGGTGTTCATAAAAGGGTAAGACATGATGAAATGATGAGAACAAGACAGAGAACTAAAAAATAAGACAAGGTAGGCTGGTGTGTGTCTATCCCAGAAAATCAGAATGAAGACACAGTTGCACTGGTGAACTGGAAATTCTGGAACCCCCTTGCTTTGATCCTCCTAGTAGCCAAATTTAAAAAGAAAACAATGCGTTTAAATGTGATTTTTTTAAAAATTCACTTCTGCTCACCAGGATGGAAAAACTGATATTTTGCCCAATGAAGTCTAAAAGCAGTAACATGGGGTGACTCAGTAAATTATGTCATGGAACACTTTTATTTAAAATGAGTAGTTTGATTATCAGAGTTATACAATAACATTATAGTGGCATCCAGTGAAGAAATTTTGGGGAAGCTGCTACTTTATTGCCTTGTTTAACAAGGCTCGGTACAGTAAAGAGCTTAACAGTGGACTGTTCAGAATATTTGCTCTTGAGATACTTCAAGAATGAAAGGACCTCAAATGTGTCTGTTTGTTGTAGCCAAAATTATGGAGAGAAAGAGGTTGTCATAGGTAGAATTATGGAAATATCTTTTAAAAGGCAGTTACACCTCTCAACTGACTTCCAAGAAGCACTTCCAACTTTAGAGTGAGAAGCCCTCATCCAGGAAGTGTAACGCTTGCCTGGAAAGGTCTCACCCCGACTGAGACTCTGTAACTTAGTGACACTTTGAGAACAGGAGACAGATTGGAGCAGACTCGCGAGTATCCCTGGAAGCTCTTCCACAGATGACATCTTCCTTTGATTCTCTTCAAACCTTCATGAAATTCTACTCCAGTGGCCAGATTAGAGGTGATGCACACCACAGGTGATTTGCCAAAGTTCATGCAGCTAATGATCACCAGGGGACTCAGAAATCACTCCATCTCATTTAGTATCTTACACTTAATCACGGGCGGACTGCCTCTGAGTTTTGGTTGTGCTTTTTAAGTCGGAGATATAGCTCAGTGGTACAGCACCTGCCTGTGGACCTGGCAAGTATGAGGCTGTGAGTTCAACTCCTGGTACAAAAAAAAAAAGGAGCAGAATATTTGCACTTTTTAAAATCTAATACTTTTGTCAGTTTTTAAAAATATAAATAACATATTTAAGCACAGGTTATGTGACAGACATAAAATATTTTGCAACTGTTATAATATGTGAATTGAATATGGAAGAAGTCCTTAAAAATGAGTATTTCAGATGTATCATAGACAGACTGTGCACTCTGTGGTTTGCATGTGTGTATTATAGTCTTCTGGACATGGTTTTTTATGATGTCTCTTTTTTGTGACATGATGCATGTCAGAATTCTGTGCAAAATATTGTTGCATAGTAGGTAATACTATAGACAAGGATTTAAGATTTACTCAGGCTTTATAAAGTGGTATCAACATACTACAGAAAAAATTCACTGTTTTCTTGTACGGTAAAAGGCAGTAGTAATATTCTCGATATACTAATTTTGGAAAATATGAATATTCCCAATGTTGCATGTTAAGTTCTGATGCTTGATTTGAAGACAGGTGAACCATGCTTTGTGGTTGTAATTAGCACTTCAGAATCCTGAAAACTGTGCTCTCTCCCTACCCCACAGCACCTCGTTTTTGGGATTAAGTCTTTCATCGCGTACCTGATTCCAGACGTCCCCAAAGGCCTGCATGAGCGAATCCGGCGGGAGAAGTACTTAGTCCAAGAAATGATGTACGAGGCCGAACTGGAGCATCTACAGCAACAGCGGAGGAAAAGTGGTCAGCCTGTCCACCACGAGTGGCCCTAGCTGCTACCGCCTACCAGCAGGGCAGCTGCCATTAGCACGAAAGAGTGGGGGTAACTTGAGATGTAGATAGGACCTAGAAGGCAGGCGTGCTAGGCAAACCATGTGTATAACACGCTAGGGGAAATGTCTCACAGCAGTCTCTGGGATTGGCATGGCCGCATTTCTAGGAATCTTAAAAGAAGCTTTGCCTGGTGTTACAGAACCAGCCTCAGAAAAAGATCCCTCCTTCTAATCAGCTGCAGTGTAACAGAAAGGGTGGTGTTGAGGTTTCTAAAGACAGATTTCCATGGAAGTGTTAACAGCCAGGCATGACTTAAAAGTGTCCTGTGGTCACATGCCAGTCTGACACTGGAAGCTTTCATCCAGGTCAGACACTTGCAAGGAATGACTTAAATCAGTGGTTGCCTTTGCTGCCGGAATTCCATGTTCCTTGTGCTTTTAGGTTGCTAGGAACCGCCCTTGTCTCATGAAAGTGTGAATCTTTGCCCCAACAAATTTATGCTGCTCACACCTACTATGCAGTCCCACAGTTGCACATCACCTTTCACACTCAAACCAAAAATGTAAGATTCCAAAAAGAATTCCATGCGTTGAAATTGTACTGTATTTCATCCGCTACAGTGCAGTCTGTTTTATCCCTGGCGAAGCCAGAGGCACTGCACATTTTTATACGTGGAACACGTAAATGGGCTGACTCTTGTATAATTTAAAACATGACTACTCCACCCTTTACTGCAGAAAGCTATTTTATAGTCTATTTAACGTTTCCCTCTCCAAGTTATTACAGATCTCACAAAATGTTATCTTGAAATGCTGTATATATATGTTCATTTGCCTTGTAACTTTGCACCTTGACAATATGGAATGCAAGATCCAGTTTATGCAATGCTGAGGCCAGTTACACAGTCTGCTATTGCAATATGTTTATTCAGGTAATCTGAATCTGGGTTGTCTACAACATTTATGCTTTTTCTACAGTATGCTTTCTTACTGATGACTAATGAAAATTATGCATGTTGACAGATCTATGATTTGTAAAAGACAATACTTGAATTTACTTTCCTTTTCTCACTAAAGGGAGCTTTCTATTACTGTTTCTTTGATAGATTGAATTCTTTTTAAACTGTCTAGAAACAAATTCAAATTAATTGTGAAGACTTTAATTTTGCTTTATTGTGAAATTCCTATTTTGATGTCAACTCTGTCCACAGATTGATGGAGTAGGAAGGCTGAGAAATTCAATTGAACAAAGTCTAAAGGAAGTATAAGCTAAGGGAATGGGATAGAAAGAAAAACAAAAGGCAAATGTAAGGGAAAAAAGCAAGACACTTCGTTGCAAAACAAGGAAATCCAAGTTTTCCTTTCCTGGGGATGGAGTAAGAAATCATATACACAAACATGTACACATACACATACATACGCTTACAAACATCATGAGTTTTAGTACTTATCTATTAATTTTTGCCCAATTAAACAAACCACAATTATTTGCAAATTCCCAAAATTTGAAAAACAAGATTAGGCACAATAGAAATCAAGCTATTTCCTGTAACCTCTAGCATCCCTCTAGGAGGGAAATTATAAATTTCACTGACTAGAAAAAATACTGTTTTAATTCTAAGCATCACAAATATTTGCTGACTTTTCCTTGTTTTGCTCGAGGGAAAAGCTGTCCCATCATAGTTGTGTCCTTGCTTTAATCAATTCTGGCTGCTCTATTTACTCTGATCCTGAATGAAGGAGGGCTTGCGAATTTGCATTCCTCTATAATTCCTCGCCACGTAGGTCTCAGGCTCAGATGTGCTACTAATTCTAGTGCCTACACCAGAGAGTTTCCGAGAAACCATGTTTACTTTGTTAAAGATGAACTCATGCCTGAGGACAAATGCTCTCCAAGTTTACCTGACAGTTGCAGATTTTCCAAATTAAGGGTATAAGACCATGGCATTTGTCTTACAGAAGAGAAAAGTATCTCACAGGGGTGTCCTTCAGAGCTCATTCCATGCTTTTATACAGCCCCACAAGGATATAAAATCATATTGATTGATATGTGAAAAGAAAGATTTTAATAAGAATTGTAATGTCTTCATTTAGAAAAATGCCTTCCCTGGTGTTTTTGAAGCAGATATAAAAAACAGCAGGCAGGAAATTATCTGAAATGTTTCTTTTGTGAAACAGTGCAATAGAAACCCACCACGCCTTCAGCTTTGTGGACAGTTAAAATGCTGGCTGCCGCTCCCTGTCCCTTGATTTCAGTTTTGCTCTGCTCAAGTTGAAGTATTTTCTATCTTGGTTTTCCTAGGAGTACAAACCAGTTCTCAAAGATTTATAGCACACACTATTCTCAGGAATTCTATATTACACGAATGCTGCTTATATATTTTCATATTCTAAGGTGGTCTTTTTAAACAAATGACTAATAACCATGTGCATGTGGTCCGCGCTGATGAGCTCTCCAGCATCAAGGAGATTCCCAGCGCAACGTGTGGAAAATCACCCCGATCTTAGCTGAGACAGCCCACCGCGGCTCGCCCCATGCACGCGCTCTTTGGGCCAAGGCTGCCCACTGACTGCATGATGAGACCCAACTCCGAATGTTGCACAGTCTCCTGAAGTGGCTTGTAGCACACTCTGTCGTGTGATGGAATGAATATGAAGTTTTTCACTCAATAAATTATCATTTGATATGGTATTTTCCTATCATTTCCCTGGTGCACTTCATTCTGCTTTTTTATTACGTTGAAGTTCTTGAAGCTGGGGGAAGGCTGCTCATTTTGTGACCTCCCTGAAGCAATGGGTGCTTTTTGTTTTTGCTTTTATTATACCTGTTTGTGGCATGCAATGATCATGCTCTTCGTGGGGAGAGGGTAGGTGTACACAACACGCCTTAATTCCTTTTACCTCCTCTCCTTCTGACTTCCCTTTCCCCTCCAGCTCTTGGTTCCCTTCCCTTTTGCAAACGGTCTATCTTGATGTTTGCTATTATGTAGCTTTCATTTTACTCTTTAATTTATTTATACTTTGGTTTTCTTGGCTGAGAGAAATCAGTGATGTCCAGGCTTGCAGGTCTGATTTCTTTCTTTTAGCATCACAGCCTCAAAGTGCATCCATTTTCCCATGAGTGATGCAGTTTATCCTTCTTTATATTCTTATTTTTGCAGGTCCTCACCCTCTGCTTAAAAAGTTCTGATCATCTTCTGATAATAATATTATCTTCAAAACTTTGGCGCATTTGAGTACAGATGGGCTGTCACACTGATCCTAATAATGTTTTGATGCTGGAACATATAGTAAGAAAACTTGATTAGGTCTTGTGAAGACAGAAAGGCTTCTATCACTGTAAACACTTCCTTTTTTCATGCTGGACTCACTCGTACAACTGCCATCAAAGCCTCCTTGTGTCATGGATTTTAGCGGAGATACCCTGCATGCCGAGGATAAACACAGAGCCCGCAGCCGACAGGAGGCTTGCCGCCTTGCTCATCTTTGTATGACTTAATGGTGGAAACTGCAAATCCAAGTGCAAATCCAGGTGCGCTTGCTAGTGTGGCTGAAGTGGTTAGCGGTATGGGGGATCATGTGGACGCACATGTCACTGTTACACATTTTGTGCACACGTTGCTGTTACACACTTTGTGAAAGCAGCGGCACTCACAGCTTGTGAGCTCTGCCTAACCCTGGTCATCAGAGATGCCCAGCCGTTCCCCCAGGCCACAGTATTCTCAGGAGCCCCAGCAGTCAGCCTTGGTTTGATTCAGAGAACCAGTCTACTTACTGCTCGCTCCTGCTAGTCTCAGTAATAGCTCAAAACAATAACTTATTAGAGTGGCCTAAAACCCCCAGTTTCTGATGGAAAGGCAAGTGCTTTCTTTCAGGCATTTCTATTTGAAAGAAAGCATGCCAACAGCGATGGTCCAAAGCAAAGATTAACTGGACTGTAGTTTGGACTTCTGAACATCCCCTTTCCTGCTACCTAGGGTTTATGTCATTGCATGGTGATAAATTACCTTCCACTGAACTTGCCGTCCGGCTTCCCCTGAAAACCTTGTATGATCCCACTGGGTAGCCTCCACTTTCAGGAGTCTGATAAGCCCTGCACTCTTCGCTTGCACACAACTTCTTCTTCTTCTTCTTCTTAGAAAGGTAAAATGATAGCAGACAGATTGCTAGAAAAGTCTCGCCCTTGTGGCCAGCCAGCGTTTCTGTAGTGTCCAAGTTCAGTTCACCCTCAGGGAGAAGCCTGTAACTCCAGCCTCACCACAGGGACTCCACCAGGTGAGCTCCTGCACAACTGCATCTGGAAAAAGCCCTGCTCACCCAGCCCTACAGGGGGCTGTCATTACCTGGAGAGTCAGCTGTGCAGATGCGGCTCTGCCTCTTTCCCTGAGAAAGAGGGGGCTACTTTTTCCAGTCTACACCTGTGTTGACCTCCTCTTTGCTTTCTTCCATCTTAAGTCTCTCTGAATTAAAAAAAAAATGACTTTTTCACAAAGCAAAATACAATATACTCCCCACAGAAAAATGACTCATGTGGGTGATTAACCCACCACGTGCTTCTGAGCCTGCCTCGGTGCCCTCACAGGGCGGCTCTGCTCACACCTCTGCAGCTCCGCACTACTAGGTAAAATCACTAGGCTACACTGGACACCCCGTCTAAGGAGCCAGGTGGAGAGATTTGTTTCTTCGTGCCGTCTCAGAAGCAAGAAAGATTGGACAGTCAGAAAAATCTGGCGGCAAACGTGTTTGTGGAGCAATATTTGGGAGACAGCAGAGTGAACTTAGGGACCCGCCCTCAAGATAAAGAGGTCCACTTTCTACACTGACTTTTCACCTCCTGCTCTGTACAATCCAGGCCTTTTTTTAATGATAAAAAGCAAACCATAGCTTAGTTCAGCTTTCAGCTCTTTTAAGAAATGAGGTTTTCATCTCTCTTCCTTTAGCTTTTTATTGAGTTGATGTCAAGATATATAAAGCTAAATCTAATATGCTTACTCTTTGTTCACAAAACTTTACAGAGAGTAAACTCCTTCATTTGTCCCAAATAAAAACGCACATAAAATTATATGCAGCTTTGTCCATGGGAGGTGAGTGTTCAGTGGCCTCTAGATTGTGTTTTCAAGTAGGAAGAGCCACTGCAGTCTTATAACTGAAAAGAGAATTTAAAGAAGAAAAAGGAGGCAGAGAGGATTTCTCCAAGTTTATTCTTTTCACAGAGAAATTATCTCACAAATGTATATTTAGCGTGATGATTATGAGCCTTAATTTTGAAATTATTTCACAATCACACATTTAGCCAGATGACTATAAACATTAATTTTTACTCTGTACAAACTCTTTGTCTATCTCAAAAATATGCACTTTGAATTGCTAATCATTAAGCATCCTTTCCAAACTCTCAAGAAACCTTCAAAGTCAGTTTAAGAAATCTTTGTTCTGCTGAGTTAGACCGACTCAGATTTTCACAGTGTGACTGCAGCTCACACGGATGAAAGTGGTGAGCAGGAAAGATACACAGACCTTTGCAACTCGGGCTCCAAGTCAACCAGCACTGTAGCTGTGTCCAGACACAGCCTGGCTGTGCTTTACTGGTATAAATTAGCAAGTTGGGAGTGGCTCATTTTATTTTTTGCATGGCAATTACATTAATGCATTAAATAAGCATTCAACAAAAACCACGGCTAGATTTATGAGTGTGTCAGATCTTCTGGCTATTCAGAATTGTGAATACACTTGTCCTAACTGGTGAAATGCTTCTGCAAATTCCTGAGATCAGTCATTGTTTACAACAGAAACTAGCACGATACATTATTGTACTTGGCTCAGCATAATCTGTTTTACTTAGATACAAAAATCTTTGTGTGCCTCCATGTTTACTTATGTGTGTGTGTGTGTGTGTGTGTGTGTGTGTGTGTGTGTGTGTCCTAAATCCTGGATAGACCAAATACAACAGACATCATCCAAAACACTGAATAAAGCATTATGTAATGTGACATTCTTATTATCTGTCTGCTGATATATATATATATATATATATATATATATATATATATATATATCACCTGCTGTGCCTGCCGTAATTTATAATTTATAATTTATAAGGTTACCATAATAGGGTTCAGGGCAGGGGACTACATTTCTAAAGAGAATGTTCACATCCATCATGTCTGTGTTCTTCAATGCAAATTATTTTAAGGGAAATAATTTAAATTATGACATATATTACAATATCCTCCAGATATTTTTCCTAAAATTACCTGGCTGCACAAACTCATTACATTTAGTATTCCAGGGCTGTATAATTTAAAATTTTCATAGAATTTTAGGAATATGGAAACATGTTTTTTACTGATACACAGAAGTATTATTATCAGTGAACTTTTTCCTCCATAAAGTAATACTAGTTTTCTAATTTGTGATGCCATCCTGACACCCCAGGTAAGGGTAACGAAATATTTAGAAGTTTAACTCCTTCCCACAGATGGCTGATATTTCCAATACCAGAAGTACCATCCTGGAAAACTAGCCTTAGGACTGTATTACTCACCAGATTCCTACCAAGATCAGCTTGCTCAGGAGTTTGAGGATCTGAGGAGATAATGGCATAAACTTTTCTCCAGAATTCCCAATAACAATGACCCATTAGAAAATTTACAAACAGCTATGAGCTACTATTGATTAATGTAGAATGCTGTATCATTTAATAAGTACCACTGGCAATTTGCTTGAAAATAGGTTGTACTATGAGTTATTCAGCATAAAAGCAGTTGTTAACAGTAACCCTCATGATCTTGTAGCACTTAGCACAATACTTAGGCTAAGGGTACCTCGGTTCATGAACTGAATTCTCTCCATGATCCTGGTCACAAACCAAATTGGACAAGAACTGAATCACATTTCCCCATAAGGTCAGCCTTCACCTTAACCGCTGAATTTGACTTCAGTCAATCGTACCACAGTACCTCAGCTCATGAGTGCTTCTGTTTCTGAGCTTACCATCAACTCACTGTTTACCAGCAGAAGCATGTGGCAAAATTTTGCTTCTGTTCATGAACCCCGTGTCAAGTGACAAACACGACCTCAGTATCTTCCCCACCCAAACACAAATGTGTCCAGAAACCTAAAGTTTCTGTAAATTTAAGACACTTAATGCATATAGGAACAATTAAAGAGCAACTCGAATTTTCTGAGCTTTATAATCTCTTCAGTTAAGATTATAATACAACAAAATATTTCAAAAATGTTGCCCATTAAGTACCACTTGAAAACACTCATAACCTTTCCGAAGCCTTAGCTTTTGGCACGTTCATTTTGGGTGAATGGAGAAGAATCTGGATACTGGTCTCCACATGCTCTTGAAATACTGCTTCCTGCTGCCACAGACTTCATTATGCAAGAGAAGCCAGATCCACCTCTGTAACAGAAGCATCTTCCAAACCAGACTCACTGATACACATCTGTAATCCCAGTGCTGAGGAGACTGAGGCAGGAGGGTCCCAAATCGAGCCCAGACCTCAGTATTCACTCTGCACACATTACGGTCACTCACAAGACTGACCTCAAGGTGAGCCACTGGCAAAGCAGCTGTGTATCTCAGCTCGCAAACTCTCAGATGGGCAGCATGGCCTTCCCATGTGTCAAAAACAAAGAGACAAGACTGTATGAATTCTGTTTCTTGTCTTCAGTCGCACCCAAAGACACCGTGTTTTAACTTCCTTCCCTCTTACCCCCAGTGCTGTTTCCCTCTCATTGCTCTCACACACTAGGGCCAAATCCCTTCTCTCCCTTATTCTCATACTTGAGGATGGATGGAGAGAGGCAAGCGCTGGGCTCTGGTTTCTAAACTCAGCTCCATTAGCTGTTTTTATTTCCCGGTCAGGTCTTCTTCCTTTCTGTGTTCTCGGGGAGACACTGGAGATGTTTAGGTACAGATAGTGTAGACGGAGATGGAGATGGAGACGGAGACAGAGATGGAGACGGAGGGTATAGGTGATATAGCTAGATAGACGTGCAGATAGATGATATTGATATGGATATGGGTAGGTGATATAGATACACATATAGATGATATAGATATAGATATGGATCAATATCAATAATATTGATATAGATATAAAAAGATGATACAGATAGAGATATAGATAGAAGATAAAGATGATACAATATGGATGATACAGATATAGGTAGATATAGATAGATGATATAGGTGATATAAAAGATATAGATCTTTTTTAAGATTTTTGGATCCAGGACTGATGGAGCACACCTGTGATTTCAGCACTCGGGAGGCTGAGGCAAGAGGATCCCGATGAGTTCAAGTCTGGACTCTGTTTCAAAAGCCAAAAGGACAAAGGGCTTTCACCTCAGGGAACATTTAACAGCACAGACTCTGGGACTCTGTCCTCACCCTTTGTGCTCGGCTGTTTCTTCTCACTCATCTGAGCAGCATTTCCGAGCCCCTGCCTGCCTTCGCAGCCACAAGGTGGTGTCGTCCATCTGTCCTAGTGGACCTGAGACCCAGACATGGGACACTTGCTCTCTTAGGTTCCCTGACCCCGCTCTGGTCCTTGGCTCTGTCTCCGTCACCTTGTGTTATTTCATTTCTTACTTCGTCCCCCAAATAATTCGCTGCCCTTTCTCTTATCCACGGCCTTTTGGTCTGCAGTGCCCTCTTGCTCAACAAAGTTAAATGTTCCCCTCCCCAGGCTCAACGCCCTTACTTCCCACAGGAGGAGTCCAACCTGCAAGTGTGGCCCCAGGAAACAGAGTTCAAATCCTGTGGGTGATGTACTTTGTCTCAAAAAGGTCCTGGAGCTGGGGAGATTTCCTGTGCACTGATGACAAATCTCTCGTGAGTCTCTGACACACATGGCTGCCCTGACTGCAGCCTGTAGGAGCCCCTTTCCTCTTCATCCAGACTGAGAAACAGAGTCCAGGCTTCCTCCTCCACAGGGCAATCTGTCATCATAGCAGGATGGGCGGAAAGGAGGAGGGCTGCTCTGACGGGGAGCAGAGTACTGAGCCAGCCGGGACGCTGGCTGTGACAGACACGCCAGGCTCTTCCTGCACTTGGTTGGAACTGTCCCTGAGATTCGATCTGGGAGCTCTCCCGCAGGAAGGACCCAGGGTGGATTTTAGGATGGCCCTGGGAGCACACTGACAACAGTTCCATGTTCCAGTGGTAGCTCCGAAACGGGGCGGGCATCAAATGCAGAACCCACAGGCACCGGAGAGCTGAGGGTGGGGCAGAGGCATCCCCTTTTATCAAGAGCTGGAGAGAAGCATTTACCATGCTGATGCCCTTTTTCTTCTCTACATCGGAGCCTGCAAGATACCGTGACAGGTAGAGCTACAAATGGAGCCCAGCTACAGCTCGGAGAGAGAGCAGGTGCTTATCATGAGCACGGCTATGTTCAGTTCTCAGCACCAAACACAAAAAAGCCTATGAACACAAAATAAACCGTTTAACATGTCCCAAAGCCAAGAGATTTTGACTCAGACTGAGATTCAATTCAGTCCTGATTTATTCAAGAAGCAAATCATCAGGCCCCTGATAATTGGCTGATTTTTCACCTGTGGTGTGGGGCTTTCCAAAGACTATCTCAGGAAAGAGTCATTTTATTTGTATAAATAAGTATATAAATAGTTACTGAACATCCTCATCTTCTAACCCCGGCCAATACACAAGGCTACTGACAGGCAGGAAGTATATGGAGCATGTGTGCACACATGTGCACCTCTTCCTAGAACTGAGTAGTCTTCTCCAGTGCCGTGTTCTCGTAGCTTTTGTCTTTAGGGTTGTAGCCTGGTGCATGGGCCAGGCTTTCTCTTCTGAATCCATTCTGGAGCACAGATTCAGCTGGGAGTTTCCAGTCACTGCTGCTCTCAAGGTTATCCTGGGGAAAGCAGGAAGACACAGGTTAACAAGACAGTCTGGGGGCGTTCCGAATGGCGTGTAGGTCTTTCCTACAAAGAGGGGTGGATAAACACAAAGGTAGGAGGATGATCGGACTGAAGACTCCCCCTAAGCAATCACTTTGATAATTCATACAGTTATTATAGTGATAATAACAACAAAAACAGCAACTTACTGAGCATCTGCAATATCTTATGTCACGTGAAGAGACACACCCCTCTCTTACTGGATGCAGCAGTCCTGTGGGGTAGTACTGTAACCTTGTGAGGAGGGAATCTGGCTGTGACCCTTCCTAGCAGCAAGCAGCAAACCCTCAGAAGCCACTAGGGCCCCTGTGTGTCCAGGAAGCTGTTCAACACTGTTGGGCAGAGGAACGCAACAGAAAACCAACAGTGGGCCCCCAACACCTGCAAGGGACCCTTCAACAAACATGACTGTGTATTCCAAGAAATTCTCACCCAGGAAGATAAATCTGCAAACAATAAATAATGTAATTCGTTACCCCAAAATTCACTTAAGCCCACAATAGCAGCTCAAACAACTACCTTCTCAGCAAAACAAAGTGCTAATCTATTTAATCCTCCATCAAAACTGCAAAGTTTTCCATGATCACCAAATCGATGCTAACTTCTTGAGACTCTCGAGGAGCATATTCATATATTAAACCATAAAATCAAGTTTATCCAGTTCCAGTTGGAGCCCTGCATTTAAAGATCTGCCTGGAATCACTGAAATCAAAATCTCTACAAGCACCTGCACCCACGTTCCCCATTCCGAACCTTAGGCAAGATGGGGCTCTCCCCAACTGATTAAATTCAGCTTTCCATCATCCACATGTTATTAGGATGTTTTCTAGGGAAGAGAGCCATTCCCAGCTCAAAACTATGCTATGTGATTTGCATGGGTTAAGTGTCCTAAGTCCTAAAGAATGTAGTGTCAGAGGCTGAAGGAGTAAAACAAAGCATTAGCTAAAACAGAAAAGAAAAAAAAAAAAACAACACCCTGAAGACCAGTTCTGCCATCTGTCTCTGGAGGAGGACACTGGTAAGTCCAGCTGCAATCCCGACCTGAAGTAGTTCTTGCTCAAGACCCTGCAGTGGTGAGGAGTCACCATAACTCTGCCTGTCACAGTGCACGGTCAGCCAGAAGGACCTGCCTGGGTCTGTCTTCAGTTCCTCCTCTCTGTCCATCCTCCAGCAGGAGCCCAGTCCATTAGAAAAGACTTACCTACCCTCCCTTCTACAAGGGGGCAGCATTGCCTGGGTCCTCTGAGCACCAGAACTCCCTAGGTTAAGTCAGGGAAACGGATTGGTCAAGTCACAGGCTGCTCCTGTAAGCTGCTGGCTTATAAGAACGTAGGAGCAGTGATCCTACGAAAAAGCTGGACTTGAGAGCAATGAAATACTCTTCCACAAAAGTAGGGCCCAGAACTAAGATCAAACCCAAGGCTCTCTAGCCCTAAAGCCCATGGTTTTAGCCACCACAAGAGACTATGTCTTTTACTTTCTTCTTTTTCTATTTTTAATTGTATATTTTACCTCGCATGTACCCTCACAGAAGGTAAAAGGGACTCTGATTTTTTCAAAAGGAAAAAAAAAACACCAGAAAAACAGACAAACAGACAACAACAACAACAACACATCAAAATGATGACAACAAAAATCAATAGTGATATAGGATTTCAAACCAAGACAATCAGAATTTAGCAATGGTTGTTATATTGTATGTTGTTATCTTAAGAATAATTGCTCAGATTACCAGATACAGGCATACAAAATTGGTAAAACAATATAATTTCCCATTGAGCAGTTTCTTTACTTTTTATTATATCTATTGTAACATTTTGGTTCTTATTTACTCTTTCAGTTTTTTATACTAGTGAGACAATACAGTGTTTACACATGCAAATCTGATTTATTTATGGTTTCTGGTTGCATCCATTTACATATAAAAACTTCACGTTTATTGTTCTTCGTGGCTGAGTAGTATTCCATTGTATAAAAATATCCTATCTTTTTTAACCACTGCTCAGTTGATGGGCATTTGGGCTGTTTCCAGTTCAACCCAGCTAATCTTCTTCTGGGTATTTTCCGAGAAGTATCGAAAACATAATACCACAGTTTTATATGTGCACCCATGTTCATAGCAGCACAATTTGTAAGAGCCAGGTTTTGGGACTTGGAAATTGATCATTTTACACTGCCAACAACTCAGCCCCAAAGCGTGGTTACCTGCCAGCGTACTCGTGCACTCAGAAGGTAATCAGCTACGATGGTTCTGAAGTTGATTCTCTCAAATCCTGTCACTCACTGCCTTCCCAGCCTCAATCCCTCGCCCCTTGCAGAGGGCTCAAATGGGCAAAATGCAAATCCTCCTGGGCCAGCACTTGTTTTAGAAGTCCACACATCCCTTACCTGCTGGGGCCCTTGGTCGTGTCGCACTCCACACCAGCACAGAGTTTTGTATTTCTCAGACCAAAAGCAAAATAAATTGCTAACTGGTCGGATTAGGAGTGGGTTGACAGCCTCTCCCCGCTGGAGACCTGTTAGAGAAAGGAGAGACAGATCAGGTGGGTCAGACTTCACGGTTCCCATTAGGGAGTTGGGCATTACAGTCTTGGGGGTCCTTTCAACACAGGCCTCAGGTGGGTCTTGCAGAGCAAAAGGCAAACATGGGTAACTGCATATATAAGTGGGGTTTAATTTTAGAAAATCATGAGCTCTCGGGCTAGAATTAAACACAGCTTAAAAATATTTATTACAGAAAACTCTACTGGTACCTTTTGAAGGTCAACAGAAGACACAACAGGAATTATATTTCTTCATTTAAGAAAGTGCCTGGTTTTTATCCAGATCAGATATATTCAAGACCATCTAACCTACTATTTTCAAGATTTGGGTATTTTTACTATTTCCTCCACCCTGGACAAATACGGTGGTGTCTCAGTTCACGAACTTAGTTGTTTCCTTGATTCTGGTCCCAAACCAAATTGCTCGTGAACCATAGCAAATTCAGTGGTTAGCTTCAGTGTTGATTGATTCAGTTAGTGAACAATTCGATTTGTGACCAGAATCTTCCCCCGAACACTCTAGACTTTCTTCACACCTAAATCAGACTTCTTCAATGTCTCATTCCTTTAAACAACAACAAAGAGTAGAGTCGCTCTAACACGCAAACCAACATCTGCAGGCTGACAATCTTGTTCCACCCAAAACCTCTGGCAATTGTGTCATGAGGGTGACCATTCCTAAGACCATTCCTAAGTCTCATTCCATGACAGCTGTGAGTGTGACAGTTTGGTATAAACTTCTCTCTGGGGACAAGGGAATGAGGGGGACACACACTGATCAGATTCTATGGGTCTTTTTTCAAATTCCTAATGAGGGACAAAAATAATACAGGTCTTTAAAATAGAGGTTCAAGTGATATGTGCCCTGATACTATGGCCAGACGTTCGATGGAGGAGAGCTCTACTCCTATTGACAATAATATGTATTAATTAGTGGTTTGAACAGCAAGGCACATTTTGCATGGGTTAGTCCCTCTGGCCAGGAAGCTTTTATTGATGAGGGAAGTTGTAAAGATCAAGAAAATGACGGAGCAGGAGAAGAACCATCTACTGTGCACTGTGTATAGAAGAGCAGGACTTGGAAATCCTCAAACTTCTGTGCCCTGATGACTGAGTCACAAGAATTTAATTCAGAGCCAAACATTCCCAGGATTTCAAACAAAGAAGACCTTTGTCTCTCAAAAGACCACGATAGTATCAAACGCTCCAATAAATAATGGAGATCGGTTGTCTCTAAGGTCAGGACTTGAGATTTGCTAACAAAGGCACCGTTGTTTGCTTTCTATGAAATTAGATTCTATTTCCTTCTAGGGAAAAAATGACTGTGTAGAGAGTGGACAGTCAAACAAAGGACATGGCTGTGGTGCTCATGAGAGGAAGTTTAAAAATGAAAATGCAATGGGAAGCTCTGGGTTCTCCCTAATGAGAGGCTCACAGCCTCTTTACTGAACCACCGGGTGACTGATCATGAATGAACTTGGATGGTAGGATTATGGTCAAAATGTGTGACAGAGGAGTGGGTCAGAGGGAAAGTGACACCTTCCTGTGGACTCATGGGCTCTTCCAGAGGAAGACAGTTCAAGGTTGTGGCTCACAGGTCACTAGTGGTACCCACTTCAGAAGGACCTTTCCTCGCACAGAAGCAGCTGGGTGTGGGGTTCCGATGTCAAAAGCAGAGTGTGAGGCACACTGCCTGCCCTCCTGTCTCCTCTGCGGGGTGCCCTGTGCAGCCACCAGTCCCCAAATCCTGAACAGAAACCTGGAGGGAAGCTCACAGCCTGATGGTGGAAGCGTGGAAACCTAGGTCAGGACTAGGCAGAGTTTAGTGGGAGGACATAAAATTGTGGAAATCCGAGTGGGAAGACAGTATCTGTGTGACTTTACTAGAAAACAAAAGGTGTGTGTGTGTGTGTGTGTGTGTGTGTGTGTGTGTGTGTCTTTATACATGAAGCATGATCAATATATACAGTGAATATTTACACTTTTAAAATTTATTACGGTAAAAGACCCATGCCACTTATCTCCCTGAAAATATTCTTGCTTTGAATATATTTACCCCATGATTCTTGCCACTTTCTGAAGCAGTTCTAGAAGTCTTCTCCCAGTGTCTTTACTAGGTATGATCAAAACTGTGTGGATCCTACTGCCAAGAAAGGCTTGTAAAAATACTACAGTGTGTTCTCCTTCGGCTTAATCATCCTGTCTCACACTGAGGGCCTCCGAGCTGTTTCCCAGAGTCAAAGTGATGGAGAGGGAAGCATGAAGACAGTCCCGACAGCACAGCTAGAGAGAGGGAAGGAGACTTCCAGAGCTGCTCAGCACTTGGTGCAAGAAAATAAAAGACAGCAACACAAAAGTAACAAACGACCCAGGAACAGGCTTGTAAGACTCCGCGGACCCTATCACACAAATGTGTAAATGTTTCACAGGTCTTTAAAAACACCACCCAGTGGTGAGTGTGAATATCTATGGGAACCTGTTAGTGACCTGGCTGGGAAGTGTCACAGCACTAGGATCCCCTTCGGGCATACAGGCACCAACAGGCAGTGAGACCCAGCGAGATCCCAAACATCCAGTGTGGTGAGTGGACTCTGGAAGAGTGGCAGCTCAGGTCTGTTTCACTAAAACCTGAGTCATTTGGAGAGGCAGAAACTGCAGGGGTTGACACAGAAACAGCTGTCCACGCTCAAGGTGGCAAAAGATTCCATCCAAGTATAAGGTGTCTGCTGCATGGACACGGGGCAGTGTCCGTTCCCACACAGAACAGGAGAAGGTGCAGCCTGGGAAGCCTCAGCTTTCCTCGAGCTTTGGAAGCAGGCAGCTGAGACAGGAGCTGCCTTCTGGTGGGGTGGGACACCTGGTTCCGCTAGTATCCAGAAAGCCTCCCCCAGTGGCCAGGGTGCAGGAGTACAATCGAAACGAAGTGAATCACCTTTCATCTGAAGCCATGTCCACTAAGAAAGAGCCTCAGGCAGCCACTATTACATGGAAAGCTGTACAAGAATCAGGGGGAAGAAGCATTCTCTCTATTGAACTGGCCTCGTGGTTGCTGTGCCATAAGGGATTTTTCATACTCAGGTCTCTGGGGTGTATTTCAGAATATCTAATCTGCTTTTTAATATCTGTGTTATCCATGATGAGAATCAGATACAGGTAGGGCTAGGGCTAAAAATATAAATACAGATCGTGGTCAAAATCTCCAGTGAATTTTTAATTTTAAAAATGTAATACATTTCCACGAATCCCCCTCAGAATCCTCCCCCGGCTTTGAGCACATTCATCCCATCATTCTCGCCACTTTCCACACCACTTCTCCAAGTCCTCTTTCATGTCTTTGCAAGGTGTAATAGAAAATGCAGTGGGTGGGGCCATTGAGTACCATGTGACACAAACGCGGACCCCTAAAATCATCACAGTTTGTCCTCCTGTATTATCTATGGGCCTGGCACTGGACACTCCTGGCACTTTCCTGAAGTCAAAACAACGGTGAAAGGTAAATGTCCTGAGTCATTTCAGTACGCGGAGCCCTCCAGGACAGTGCAAGCCTTTCTTCAGACACTGAAGAAAGAAGCCTGCAAGAGTAGCTTCAGAAAGTGGCACAAAAAGAGGGACAAGTGTGTTGAGAGCGAGAGGGAGCATTTTGGTAGGGATTAATGGTAATGCATCTTTTCCCATAATAAATGTTTAAACAGAAATTTAACCATTCACTATGTTTTTCAACCTCACCACCTAATGCTGCAGGGAAAGCATTTGTGTATCTGCTTGGAGACAGTAGACATATTTTTAGGGGAGGAGGACTTTTTTGTAGTAGATCTGTAATCTAAACACCAGCACAGCCACCCGGTCCACAGTGGTCCCAAAGAAAGAAACGCCATAACCCACCTGTCACAAGGCTGATGAGTAGTCCAGCAAGGATGCATGTGATGCAGCCCACTGCACTGTAGTACAGGTAGGAGAGTGAGTACCAGGTGTCTGCCAGTTCAGGTCTGCGGAGGACGAGAGCAGGTGTCAGCTATCCCGCCCTCCTGAGGTTCTGCCCATGTCACCCAGGGCACCCCTCAGACTCGTTTCTGAGCCTCATTATGCTTACAACCCCCTTCTTTATAAAGCCACGAGTGGGTTATAGACTCAGTGTGTTTTGTATCCCACTCAACATAATTCATCCGTGAATTAGAAAGGGCGTTTCAGTGAGAAATGCTCTATCCAATCCTTTGGTGTTATTCATCCCTCAGATACTGATGGAACCTGCATTTCAGGCCAGGAATTGCCACAGACATTTGCCTGCATAGAGGAGCTAATGCATGAGTGCAAAGTGAACTTGCTGGTGCCTGGGTAGGGTGGGAACAAAGGGCCAAGAGGGCACCCAGGAAGCCCACCAGAGCCAGGTTGAGGTGTACAATGGGCCTGGTCATCAGAAAATGAAGGCAGACAGGAGCAGAGCTTGGCAGCCCAGAAAGATGGCAGCCCAGAAAGATGACAGCACATGGGGGAGCGGACAATCAGAATGGTGGATGGGGATGTATAAATAGGCTGATATTGTGTGATAATGAGGAAAAGGGAAACTGAGGAAGTGGAAGTGAAGTACTAGAAGGTCCATGACTGGGTTGCAGGGATCCCCGCCCAGTTTTCCTTGCTGAATTCTATCGACTTCATTCCAAAGCAGGTTCTCACTTAGGATGCGGGTTCAAGGAGCCAACACATTAGGAAATAAAGGGCATCCTCACCACACTTATGTCTTGCAGAAAAGGAAGAGGAGGTTACCACGACCCCACTCCTGGAAATCCCAGTGAAAACAGTACGGACTAGCCTTCCTCAAGCAATGCTGCTTTGGCTGCAGAGTCACTGGATCCCAGGAAACCTGCACCAGAAAGCTGTTTCCTTAATTTTACATCTCAGGAAAAAAACTGACAGGTTTTGGATGTAAGCGTTTTGGTTCAACCTTTAAAATAATATTCCAGGAGAAGGCTTACCTACCATTTACAAACATGGCCTCTTATGTACTATGCAGTGAGATTACGTACTGTGTACTCTTATGTACTATGAGTGAAATTCTGTTAGTGAATTTCACACCACTGGGCCTGTTTTAACTAAGGTTCAACCTGCTCTGGCCAGGCTCAGAATCACCACAGTAGGACTGTGTGGCACTTTGCTTTTGGGGCACAATTAAAGTATAAGGACCCAGTTACAGAATAACAAACTTATAGACACTTTATAGCAAGTTACAATCAAATAGCAGCCTCTTCCTGTGCTCTTGCTGCCTGTCAACATAAACACCCTGCTGAGTTCAGTCAGCCTGGCTGTCCAGGTCCAGCTGCTTTTCTTCTGATAATGTGCTGGGCCAGCTTGGCTATTCCCAGCTTATGTTTCCCTTAATTAAGAAAATATATTGCTTCTTCCTGGCTACAAGGACTTATGATGGGGTAAAATAACCCAGTCAAAGAAACTCTTGAGCCCCTCCCCGCATCCCCAGGATGATCCCATGTTGTGATAAACAACTCCTTTTAAGCAAATGTGTTTAGAGTCAGTTTATCTAACAATATATGACTTAATCCACGTAACCAAACGTGTAATGCCTTGTACTTCCTGCTTGCAAACTGTATTAAACTGAACCTGAAATTGCCTCAGGGCTGATGATTTGGAACTGAGATTCCCATCAGCCTGCTAGCATAATGAACAGTTGCCTTCTAGATTCTTCAGTGTGAAGTCTTCCAGTTGGTTTGATATTGTATTTTCTATAACACTGGTAAGGGGGATTCCTCATTGCTCCCAAAGGTGAACCATAGGATGAGGGAAACCACCAACCCTGATTTCCAGTGAGGAAGAAGGGTGTGGAAGAAAACTAAATGTTTTCATGTTTTCTTCATTCAGTTTCCCTTACACAAACACAGTGGCAAACCACACGGCCTCGAGGGGCTTACTGTGTAGTAAAAACACAGAAGCATCTGCTTCCAGAGAAAAGAAGAAAATGGCAAATGGAGGAGAGAGGAGAGCAGAAAATATAAGAAAAGGCAAGAGTAGAGTATGGTCAGGAACACGCAGGCAGTCCCCACGATGTTCCTGCTGCTGTAGGAGACAGTGGCTTCTGTCTTGCTGGTCATGTTATACTGAGGCACTGAAGTGAGTACAGGAAAGGAATGCCTTAGGAAAGCTTTAAGAATCGAGGGCTGGTTAGTTTGGAATAAATATGGAATAAATATTTTCAAACCCTGAGAATCTTTGAACCACAAGTCACTATACTTCTTCTGGAGAAATGGGGATCCTAACCCGGCTATTAAAAGAGGAACAGATTCTGAAGATGTAGAAAGAAGGATGAAAAGGAATTCGTTTAAAAGCAAGAGCTGGTTAGATATTCTATGATAACAGAGGGAACGCAGAGGGTAAAAGAGGTAGACTGTAGGTGAGAAAAATTTCAGAGAAGTATTGATGAGAACCAGAAAAAGTCTGTACCAGAAACAAGAACCTCAAACTCTGTATTTCCATACATATTTAAATATTTACATTTGTTTATCTTATAAAAATAATTGCATAAGATTTTTGTATGTGTGATTATGTAAAATTTACATATATCTACTTTTCATAAAACTCACAGAATTAGACGCTAATATCCTTCCACTTTAGTCAAGAATTTCCGAAGTGAAAAGTTGCTGATTTGTCTTATGATAGAAAGTAGGTAAATCGTAAAACCGCAATCCAAATTCAAGAATTTTCCTTAAATTTCTTTTTTTTTTTCCTTAAATTTCAAAATCGTCAGTCTTCCCCCTCCACCACAGTGTCTCCTACAGTTTGGTATCTTTAATCATGAACCCAGGTCAGACCTAAAAGGAAAAGCTTTTGTTCACCGCTGTGTTGATGCAGGCATCAAAGTGTAGGTTCACAGCGGGACCCCTCAATCCATGCCCACACTGCCTCTCATCCTCTTCACCCCTGAAACATGCCTGCTGAGTTGAGATCCCTCCGTCTTTATGGGCACTGTGACCCTCAGACCCGCCCATCTGTGTTTCAGCCCCTCTATACACACACCTTCCACTGCTCTTTTGCACCTTCACATACATGCACCTGAGAACCAGAAGAGCCTCCTGCGGAAGCTGGCTGCGAAGCCCCAGGGTGGCTCTCTGGGGACCGTGAGGAGGCTCTCAGCACACGAAGCCCTGAGCGCAGGACATCCCTCCAACCTACTGCCTACCCTCTGGCACCAGGGCCATCACCATGGTCAGTGTACCTGTTGGGCAAGACAGAGGGCGCTGAGGTGGTCAGGTTTGTTGGCACACACTTCTCCATTGATAAAGGCAGCGGCCGAGTCTTAGACTCTGGTGCAGGGTACACGAAGGCCCCGATGGTCACCCAGGCTGACACCGTGATGCCAGTAAGGAGGCCGCCTAGAGCACCCTTGACGGTGGAAAAAGGGGAGAAGTGAATGAGACCAGGCCGTCTGGGGAAAGAACAAGGAGACGAGGCGTCCTCTGCCTGGAGATGGCAGGAGTCCACCTCCAGCCCTGGCCATATGACTGGTGCCCACCACCCTCATATCAATGCCACAGTGCACTTTCTTTGTAGAAGAAGTTGTTCCTTATATGAACTGGAAAGTTCCATCATGATGAAGAGTTTCATAGACACTGGAGTTTTGCAGCATTTAGATTGCTGAGAACTTTTTTCTTTTTAGTTTCTTGTTCTTATTGCTTTAAAAGAGCTTAAACCTCATTCCTTATGGAAGAAATTCAGAACTTAAAGAAAACTTCAGATAAAGGAGATAATATAGTCACATTTTCATAACAGCGATTGCCCTGAAAACCTCGCCAAGCCCTCTGACTCTCCAATTCCAAAGCTTTTGTTTGAGTCTGAATGCTAGAAAGTGGAGTGATAAGTCCTGCTTTTTGAAAAATGTGTTTCTTGAGAAGCAATGAGAAGTCAAGGACAAATTTCTCCCGTAAGGGAAACAGAGGCTGCTGCAGAGCCCAAGACCACAAAAGAAAAAAAAGTGGCTGAGGCTTCCGTTCAGGGCTGCAAAGCTGGGTTTTCTACAAGACCAGAAACAGCTTGCTATACACAGCCAGATGGATATTTTGGGTTTTGTGCACCACACAGGGTCCATCGTTACCATTCAGCTGTACCACTGTAGCACACAAGCAACCACAGACAGCAGTGAAACAGAAGAAACCAGCTGTCTTCCAGCCAGATTGGGGCACTGGCATTTGGGTTTGATACAACATGGTAGTCACAGGGATCCACTAAAATTACAGCGTACAACACACAAAAACCTCTTGTAGCTTCTGGGTAGATTTTTGAGTCTCAGGAACTATCTTCCTTTATTATCCCCAAGGGCATCGATAACTTTGGACCCCAATATCCTGAAGCTATGGGGCAGCAGCAGACGTGGTACACATACCATTCTCCTTACTCAACCCAGGGGACTTATTAAAGAGATGTAAATGGCAGACAGAGAGGCATGGCACCTCGTCAGGTGAGCAGACTTGGGGTGCAGGGGGTGCCCTGCAATATGCACATAAATAAACAGACCCAGGGTTCCCAGAGTTAAAAGAAATACGCATGTGAGTAGGTAGATGATAATGTTGTTAGAACAAGAAAATTGTAATGCTTTTAACGTTTCAAAAATATCACTCTAGGGCAACACACTTGGGACTCTTTCTGTCTCTCTCTCAGACAGAAGCTTTCTTTCTCACAATAAATATATTCTGCTTGTAACCTCTGTTCTTCCTAAAATTCATTCTTCAGTTTTAGAGAACATGAATTTGTCCTGGACATCCAGTAGGTTGGGAGCAGGCTTGAAGAGCAGGGACTCTTCCTCTAGAGGGCTGGGATTTGCCTGTATGAGTTGGAGGGCGTCTACTGAGATCATCAGATGGAGACCAGCTTTAAGCTGTGTATCTACCCAAGATGAAAATGCCTGATGTCTATCTAGGGCCTTTAGGTAGACCCTCTGCAGAGTCTCCCTGACTGCTGGTCGACAACTACAACCACTCTCAGCCTGAAGAAGCCAGATCAGTCATTGCCCATTTCTCCCTCATGGTGGTTCAGGTTACTTCTTCAGATGAAGGAACGTTACAGGCAGCTGAGTTAGATAGCAATGTTACAGGCAGTCAGACAGGGCTGGGCCCTTGAAGGAGCCAGTACAGGAGACCAAGGTCTTGCAACCTTGAAAGACACCTCTGTTTTAGGGCCAGATCTCAAGACAAAAGGCAAAACAAATGCAACCAAACCCTAAGAATAAATATCAGGGATTGATATTCTAAGTAGATATGGATCACCTTGAGGAAGCCAGGCATCACCATCCCAACCCCCTACAGGAGGAGTCACTGCTCTTTAAGCTTGCCCGTTTGCTACATGACTGGCTTCTCCTTTTGTCCCTGATTTAATCAATTTTACCTGAAAAATTAACCTTACTAGTTGACCACAGTTCTGTCCCACCTCATGCCCATCTGTCTTGTGAGTTTGCATGTTTTCCCCATCTTAGATCTGTCTTACCTCGTGGTTTTGCTCTACAAAAATCCTTAGAAAAGATAGAGTCTTTGACAACCTACTCCGGACCCCTTCTGTCTCCCAACAGAAGCTTTTTTTTTTTTCTATCAATAAATGTATTCTGCTCTTTAAAAAAATGTTTAAATATCATTCTATTACCTTTGCAAATAAATGTTCATTTGATTCATACTCTGCACAGTCGTGTAACTAACATCTACTTGAAAACATGTCATTAGCTTGCCAGGCGGGCACCGGGAAGGAGTCCCAGCTGACAGCAGGAAACCAGGTGTGTTCCTTCACCCTGTACACACAAACTGATTAGCTCAAGGAGATGAGTTATTTTAGGGAACTAGAGAAAATATGACATTTACATGAATTTTAAAAATTTGAATTTTTAAAGTTGTATTTGAGCATGGTCTCTGAATCTACTTCATTTAGAAAAGAGTCAGTGTCACCCTTAGAAAGTCAGTTTTGATGGGTGCTGGGGCATTTTGTAGCTCCTAAACACACTTCTCTCCCTTCTGTGTGTTGTTTGTTTGTTTCTAAAATGACTTCGTTGATGGTTGATGTCAGACATGGGAGGATTCAGGTCTTGTTTAAATTCTATCATGAACTCATCCTGGCAAATAGTTTTCCACATAGGGATGAGAGGGAAAAGGAAATGCCAAGGTCTCCAGTTTGAGCTGAAGGTCTCGAGGAGGGCAGGGTCCTTACCTTCCAGTTCACAAAAGGAAACAGGAGTCCCAAGGAGAACAAGCCCAGCATGGGTCCTCCACACATGCCGTGGATGCTGAGGGAAGCCTGCAGATAAAGACAACTGGTAAACCACCTCCCACTTCCTTGGGACCCACCTAGACTGGCCCTCCTTGGACCCAGCGTGACATTAATTAGCTGCCTGCTTTCTGTAAACCAGTGGTGGATCCAAAGGTAACAATTGTGTAAAAGAAGAAAAATTATATATACATACGCTTGTGCCTGTGTTTGCATATAAGCACACATGTGTGTGTTTGTAAAGAGGAAAAACAAGTGAATCACATTTCACTTCAGATGGAGTTAGCCAATCAGCCTTATTTTTATCTTAGCAAAAGGGGATTTTTGCTGCGGATACAGCTCAGTGGTAGAGTTCTTGCTTGGAACATCAAAAGCCAGCAAAGCATCTACAGGCTTTCAGGCAGAGCCTGAGGAAAGGATACCCTGCAGATCTCATGGAAGTCTCCTGTTTGACAGGAGTCCCCCACTTCAACCAAGGCGTCCTGGACAGGTGACCTCCTTTAACCCTCACAGTCCTGATTGAGAAGGTCACAGAACTTCGTAGATGAGAAAATTGGGGCTGAAGGAGACATAGAAAGTCTATTTCCACTCGGAAAGTGGCAGCGCTAAGATTTAAATTCAGATTTTTATGGCTCTAAGACCCTCATGTTCTCTGAAGAAAACAACTTAAAAATTCAAGAGACAAGTCACTGTAATATCCTGTCCTTTGTTTAGAAGAGACAAGGGCTCTGAAAGAGCCCACCTTCAAGGTCACAAGATTCACATTCTACGCATAACTTCAACACATCACCAGGATCCAGTGAGCTTTCAATTAGCAACTCAGATTCACGCCACCTCAGAATTGTCTTTCTTCTTCCCACAATGGACAGGGCCGGCGTCCCCTTTAGCTGACATGAAAGTTTTTGTCTCTAACCCTTTCCAGTTAAATGTTAGAGAACTCAGTGCCTCAGCTCTGCCTTTGACAGGCTGAACTCAAGGGGAATTAGCGCCTGCCTTTCCTCGGCTTCGATCTTAACCTGTTTGGCATTCCCTCTGCTGTCTGATGGTAACGTTAACTCACAATGTCTGTGGTTCATCAAGTTGGAATTTATCAGCAATTATATGGGCAAGTCAATAAATAGTAAACACATTTATCTCTCCTTATGGAAAAAAAGATAGACTCATAAAGTCATTAAACAACAGCGAATAAAAAGCCCATACATATTCACAGGGAAAAAAATACAAGAGTTTCAGAATTTAAATACATGTATACATATGTACATATTCAATTATAACATATATATATATATATATATATATATGTCTGTAGTGTAGAAGAAAAAAATTTGACTTTTTTACCTTTTTCTTTTCATATGCATGCTTAATTGGAGGAAGAATTAAAATTCCCCTAACTCAGAGGGCAAAATGATGCGTTCGGGAGTTCAGGCTGTTCTGGGGCTTCAGCAAGATAGTTAGCATTGCTCTCTGTGCCTCTCATTTCTTGTATACAAGGGGGCAGTGTAATACATGCTCAAGGTTTGCTTCGGTTGTTTTTGATGAATACTCAATGTAGAATCCAAGAAAAGGCAAGAAATGCTGTCTGACCCCCAAGGCTGATCCTCACGCTGAGGATCCCAGAACATGGGCCAGTCCTGTTCTGTGCTGTTTCCCTACACCCCCTGCTCTGGAGCTCTGATTTCTGAGCCCTGTGCTCTTTGGAATGTGTTGAGGTCTAAAAGGTGCTTTCTAAGGTTGAGATAACAGTGTGTCTCAAAGTCACCACAGTCCTGAAAGGAGCCAGTTGGCAATGCTCGGGACAGAAGCACCTTGGGAAGGGTGATTGCATATGGATGCTCTGCGGATCCCTGGTTCACCCTGGGAAGACTCTGGGCCACACCACTGTGGTGAGACAGATGTGCTCACTGTGGGTCCCCAGCGCTGTCACCGGGCTATCGTGTGCTGTGGGACCTGTGAGAAAGGCTGCAGTGTGCTGTGTTTCTTTCAGTCCTTCGCCACGGAAAATGGCTCCCTTAGCGTTTTTCACAATAGAGGCTCTCTTTAAATTCTCACAGTAAAGCAAGAGCTTAGCATTGCAGAGAAAACACAAAATGAACCCCAAACCCCACAGACAATGCTATAAGTATAGGTGGTTTGGAAGGATGTGAGATAAAACCTGGTTTTCCCTGCCACCTATGTCAATGGGACTGGGATTTGCTTTCTGTACAGAAATTCAGAATGCATTGATTTGTCAAATTCAATATGGTCAAGCCTTTTGGAAAATTAGAGAAGCAAATCCCAAGTGTCTTTCTGCACCCACCAAAGTCAGGTGAGCTCAGAGACATGAGGGGACTCTCAGAGACAAACACCAGACTCTTATTCCTCGCACACAAGCATCTTCTGCTCTGCATGAGCTACATGGTGCACATTTTAGCCACCAAGAAAAGGATCCTCTGCTCAATTAGCACGAGGAGGTGAGGGCCTTCTGCTCCCCGACCTGACTGTAACCGAGGTTTCCCACCCACCCTTGCTGTTCCTGAGCTCCTCACACCATCATTTCTGAGAGTGCAAGTATCTCTGAAGTGTAACAATTTAGTGATTCGGGTGATCTGCATGGTGGGAGGCTGGCACTCCTTTAGAAGTGCTCACTGCTATGAAAAAGAAAGCAAGGAGGTGCAGAGTACCCGAGAAAATACGGAAATAGGGTCCCACATCCTGGGAAAATAAACCTTTAAAAATGCTTCTTAGGGCACTAGAGACAAATACACCAGCTTGCTACTTCCTCTGTGAGGCTGAGGAGCCCAGAGGGTGCCTCAAACATTGTTAAAGAGATTACGAAGCACCTGTGATAACAATGAAGGCTCCTAGCTTATTACAGAGGACTCCAGATTTCTAGTACCAAAAGTCATTTGCTGCGGACAAGCAGATCATCGCATCTCTCACCTCTCTGGGCCCTGTTCCTGAACTTTAATAGGGAGATGATATAGCAAGCGGTCCTTAGGTAGGAATGGACCCTGGAAGCTAAAGAACATAAATTCCGTGCTTACTAAGACTGGCAACAGTAATTCTATAATTACTAACATTCTATAAGTAACAGCATTTCTTTGTGTGCCTAGTAATTAAGGAACTTATAGATTCTCTTCTTTAAATTGCTAAGTTATATTTGTTGGAAGCCTATTCCACGCCAAAAATACCTCAAAAGTGCTCAGATTTTACAAAGACACAGAAGAGATTGACGGAGGGTTTGAGGTAGAGTCTGAAGATTTGCTTGTCTGAGGATTTGTGACTTGTACAATTCATGGGGAAGAGAGGGAGAGGTCCGGAGGCTCTGAGCCACTGTGAGAACCTGAGCAGGACATTGTGGTCCTCTCCTGTGATCTTGTGCAATGCAAAGGTGCTTAAAGGACCATCCCTGGGCTCCTTCTACTCCTAATATTTTATGAAACCAACACATGGGATGTATGAGAAGCAGTCCAGCTTGGATGACAGCAGCGGAGGGGTTGTAGCCTAGTTCCGCTCCTCATCAGTTGTGTGACTATGGAATAATCTTCAGTTTCTTCATCGAGAATATTGACACGTCAGTTGTCATCTCTTATAGAACAGATGAAGGCTAACTAAATTAACATCCTAAGATTGCATGCAAGTAAGTGATGATTATTGTTCTTATATTTTGAAGTTTTTCTAGGATTTAGCATTTCTAACTTTAATGGAATGTAATTTGTCTTTATTTCATGGATATTTTTAAAGGTTCCTAAAAGTCATTTTGTTGGCATTTAACATGTTTGCCTTATTAGTCATCATTGCAAGCAGGGGGCCTTGGGCACAGGCCATACACAAGAAAGGAGAAGGGAAAATCAAGCGTGAAATTACTACCCGTCACCCCTGCATTACCTGCACGACGCTCCCCATGAAGGAAGCTGCCACAGCCATGGATGTGCACAGAACGCCAAACAGGAGACCTGGAAAAGAGAGAAAGCGGGACCTGAAACTTCCCCCGGGGATCCATGGCTTGGAGGCCACTCCTGAGCCCCAGGCAGAAGAACTGCGTCTCATGCCAGGTACAGCAAGGAGGACCATGCTCACCCTGCAGCCACCACAGACCACAGGAGTGACACAGAGGGGATCTCTCCGCCAGGCACAGGCTCTCCCAGGTCAGGTAGAATGAACGGGACTTTCTAAGACTTCAGAAGAAATCTGTCTCATGGAAGTAACAGGAAAATACAGAAAGGGACCACCAAATCCAGGCTAAGTGAATAGGAATTTATTCTGGGTCAGCTTTTCACTGCCTCCAAGGGAAAGAAAGCTACCAACTGCCTTGGAATTCAGACAGGTTTTCACCTTTAAATTACCGCATGACCCAGTCCTCATTCTCCCCTTAGGTGCACAATCCTGGAAAGCTTTTCCGGTTTTGTCCACATCATCATAATGATGCGGTCACATCACATAATGACTGCTCTGTCCACCGCCACAGGGGAGCTTCAGGTGCGACATTCAGTACACTTAAGAGCCCTCATAATGGGGCAGTGTGCATTTTTAGTCATTTTTAAAGATGATGTCTGCTTTTAAATGATCTTTTAAGACTATCATCGATTTCTACACACCTTTGTTCAAAATCAGCTCATAAGCACACCTACGTACATCCAGAGTTCCTACATTAACCCATAAACTAAGAAAAGGAGTGGCAGATAGACATGTGGAGACAGGGACAGACACAGTGACAGAAACAGACAAAAGCCTGCTTCATGCATTCTCTCTGAACTGTGTGCCAGCTAAACACCCAGCTCAGGTACCAATGTGGTGATGGGGTCATTTGTATTGAATTCTGACCAAAGGTTGGGTGATAACCAGGCATTAGCACTGTAAGATTAGAATTCAGTTCCTGCCCTGAGGACCTCCCAGTCTAATGAGGGACTATGCACCATAAATCAGCTCACCCAACAATCTACCCAAAGTGCTCTATCCAGAAGGGTCTCTAGTACTATGTGCTAAGTGTCTGTCATTACTGTATTGCTTTATTCTCAATTTACCATATGTTAATTGATCATTCATTATGACAAACTCACTCTTGAATTCAGAATAACAACTTTTGAAACCACATTTTTTAACTTCTCAATAAACAAAAGAGAAACAAAAGGAACTCACAGGAGTACTATACACCAAGCATGACCAACAAACACCTGTAAAAATTCTGACATGGTTCCCATTGTCTCTAAGGGGACAGTCAGAGGGAAGAAACCAGCATTTGCCCTGGCTCTTCATTGTTTCATGCCAAAGGGGCACTCCTGATACCTGGAGCAAAGAACAAAAGAAGTTTTTTCTTTCTCTTACTGACTGTTGTCTTGCTAGGCCAACAGGAAACTGTTCATATGAAACTGGAGGGTGGACCCCTTCAATTTGGGTCGTTGCGATTTTGTACTGGTAAAGAATTGATTTCAGTGGTCTGAAAAGGGGGGGGGCTTTAGGGAAAACTGGAAGTTTTGGGGTTATCAATGTTTCCTGAGAGACTCACACTCAGGGCCATTGGAAGGCGATGGATCATGGGGGTCAATAGCTGACTTGTGATGTGGAGTTGGAGTCTGGTTGGAGGAAGCAGATCGTGGAAGCAAGGCCTGAAGGGTTTGTCTCCCTCCCTGCCTCTTCCCTTGACCTCTCTCTACCTCCCTGTTCCCCCACTTGAGCAGCCATCCTTCATCACGCCCCTTTGCCATGCGGCCTCTCCTTGGAGCCCCTCACTTTGGACTGAAACCTCTACAAACTGTGAGCCAAAATAAGCTTCCTCTTTTAAATTGTGGGTGGCAGATATTGTGTCCCAGTGATACGAAAAGTGACAAAATGAGGGTTCCATTGAGACTCACAGAGTATCACCCCACAAACAGATATAAAGATGGGAAGAAGAAAAGCTACCCTTCTGTTATTAGTGAGAACTCAGACCGTGAGTAGAGAAAAGCAAGAAGCAACTAATTAGTAAAGTCAGCAATTGTGTATTTGCCATCCAGTGATCCTTTTCCAACTATAGTCCATGAGAAAATGAGGGCAAAAAGGGAATGAAAATACTAATCTAAAAGCTCAAATACTCAGTAAAGAGTTTAATTTCTGGAAATAATTCAACTAGAGAATCACCACAAAAACAGCACTTAAAATTGGCAATTTCAGTATGAAAGAAGAATCAGTGAAGGATCAATGAAGCATAAATCAAGGGAAAACACATGAGATAAAAAAAAGTTAAAACCTGTATAACAACAATAAGTTTATATGATGATGCATTCAGGTGTGATAAGGAATCACTAAAAAGGAAATTAAAAGCCGTGATAGTCCTAGAAATGTTATTTCTAACTTGTAAGCAAAAATCAATGAATACATGTTCACCAAAAGACTTGTACAATGTAATGACTTAAAACTGAAACAGTGTAGATCCCTCCCAAGAAACACAGCTGGCTTTCCCTACACATAGTTCCAAATTCACAAATTCAATCCACTGTGAACTAAAAATAGTTTTTAAAATGCATCTCTAACAAAGAAGTACAGACTTCTACCATTGTTCCCTAAAGAATAGAGTACAATGTTGACACAGCACCGACATAATAGCTAAGTTACTTTTCTCATTGCTGAGACAAAATATCCTACATGCAAAGTCAAAGGAGGAAGGATTTATTTAGCTTATGGTTTGTAGAGGTTTCATTCCATAGGTGGCTGCCTCTAAGCTAAGTAGGCACAGCACACAGGCTTGGTGGAGGAGAAACAATTTATGGTGGACAGAAGATAGTAAAGCCACAAAGGCTGACCACAGCTCTTCCTATCCCTTATATCTTATCAAGCTACTTAAGGTGAGTAGCTTTCACTCCCTTAATCCTAGTGCCCTTGATCCTAGCATTGCACCATGAATCAATTCCAGTGTCACACACTCTAGATCCAGCCACCTCTCGAAAAGCCCTGCCTATGACCTTATGACACTTTGGAGGGACATCTGGATGCAAGCCATAGTAACATTATATTTTGTATTGTAAATTACCTGGAGATACTTGAAAGCACATTGGAGGATGTACATAGGTTGTATGCCCATACTACTCCATTTGATACAAGGAACTTGGATATCCTGAAATTTTAGTATCCACAGGGTACCTTGGAATAAATCCCTTGTGGATACTGAGAATTGGCTAGATATAAATATAAAAAAGAACAGAACCTTCTGTTCTCTGATATCCACATATGTAGGATACCCATATATGCATATTCATCAATGATAAAGAAAGAACTATGGACACACAAAATAACACATATAATATAAATCTCAAAAACATTGTGCTTGAAATGAGTCCTCTTTTACAAAGAAAGAATCAGTACTGTATGGTTTTGCTTGTATGAAGTTTGAATAAAGATGAAATTAGTCTACTGTGGGGGGAAAAATCTACATTACTATTGCTTCCAGAGAGCAATAGTAGCAGAGAATTAACATAAATGGCACGGGAGAAGCTTCCATGGTGACATCGAGGTATTACATCTTGAAAAGTAGTTAGGTTCCATAGGTCCATGCATTTGGCAAACCAAGCAAATCTCACTTAACATTTGTTTATTTCATAGTAGGTGATTTTTTTTTTAATATCCCTAAAAGTAATTTGAAGTCAATACTGAATTTTGTTAACAATATGCATGCTAAAATGATCAGGGGGAAATGTGCTAATTTCTGTAGTTATTTTTAAATGTTTCGAAGGGGTGATGGGAGTGGATAAACAGAGACTGGGATGCATAGATAGAAAGCAAGTTTGGGGAGATGCCAGTAGAGAAAGTAAATGTAGGATATATGGTAGTTCATGGGGAAATCTCTTAAACTTGGATGTATAGTCAATTTTTTACATAAGCTACAAAGAACAAAACACAATAGTGGAATTAAAATTATTATTAAGAGATTTAGGTCTCAGACATTTCAAAATAATGCAAAAAAAAAACCCACCATGAATTTTTACTCACTGAGGGAGAGAAAAAAGTACAGGAGGTATGAAGCAAGCAACTTATTTTAGAAGAACAATTAAAAACAAGAGGAATTCTAGCTACAAGGGGGTTGAGATGGGACTATTAGTTCGAGACCAGGGTAGGCAGCATAATGGGACCCCAGCTCTAAACAAACAAATAAGATTGATTATAATATAACTAGTAACATTTATTGCTTATAACTGTGCTTCCTATCAAACCAATTTAAATTGCATGAATCAATAGGAGTTGAGTAAATGACCAAAAACCTTCCCAACATTGATAATAAAAGATACTACAGGGAAAAGGTCTCATCATAGTATCAAGAAAGGTAGAAGAGGAAGGGGTAGGGAAGAGGATGAGAGGAGCAGCTGTTAGGAGGAGGTAGAGGAATTGAAGGAGGAAAACATATTATGGTTTGAGTCTGGATGTGGCCCCAAAACCTCATGCAGTCATGGAGGCAGGCTCCTAGAGTTTGTGAAAGATCCATGGTCCAACGCTGAGATTATGGGTGTGAGTGCTACACGCAAGTAAGTATGACATACATAAAATATAGGGACAGAAAGCCTTCTCTCCATGCTCTTCTGCTCTTGTTCCTTGTGCTGTTTTCCAACTCCGTGAACTCCTGCCCTGCCACTCTGCCGTGGAGCCAGGTGAGTATAGTCTGAAACCTCCACAAACTGTGAGCTAAACAAACCTTTCCTTCCTTAATTTTGTGCATCAAGTATTTTGTCTCAGCAAGGAGAGAAAGGTAACCAAAACAGCATATGTATGATCCAAATGTAAGTGAGAAAACACCTGAGTGAAGGGAAAAATCAGTGATATGACTGAGTGGAAAGCTTACAAATATGTCCACTCCTTACCAATCTATTTTAAAGTCTAATGTGAGGTGTTATATTATTTTAAAGTTAATTTAGAAAGATGACTAGGCCTGAGGAGCTGAAAGAATTATGCATAAATGAAAATACCAATATAAATACTTTAAATTTTAAACTAAAAGTGAAAAATTGATCTACCCGATATTGTAAATAAAACAATATGGAGCTATAACATAAAAAAGGTGATATTAGTCCTGAAATTGACAAATAATTTAAGGAAAATAAGTACACAACATGAAACATATCTTTTAGCCAAGAGAACTTTATATTCTGTATTGTTACTAACAAAAATATTAGAAAATAGTGATAATAAGTAATGCTAAGAAAATTGGCAGTTTAAGAAAAAAAGCACTAAAATCCTCACCTTAAAGCATAAACAAATTATATATATTAGATATCAAATATGAAATGTAAAACTATTTGTAACCTGAGATGAAATAAAAGAAGACAGATGGTTAAGACTTCAGAATGAAGTAGATATGGTAAAAGACATGATGCATATATTTGATAAAATATGAAATTAAAACTTCATCATGTCAAAAATATATTTTTAAAAAATTAACCTGGGACACATTCTGCAGCAGATATATAAAGGCCTTTATTTCTTCATATATAAAAAAATTTTACACACAACAAAATTTCTGATAGCCCACCAACAAATAAACAAAGTATAAACAGGTTTTCACTAAAATGCAAATGTTACTTACCATCTGAAAAATATATAAATGCATGGAAAATCAAAAAATTAAGTTCAATTTTGATGCTTTTTACCTATTAATTTTGATAATTTATGAAAATACTTCTGTAAATCACATAAAGAAATGAATCATTGCTCACCACTGCCACACATGGCCTGTGGTTTGCCCTGCTGGAATTATCTTTCTTACTAAGTCTTAGCAAGTGCCCTTGAACTAGGTTGTTTAGCCTGAGGTTCTTTCAGAAGTCCACACTGAGGGAAAATCATACAGATACAGTCAAAGATTTATGTAAATGAGTTTTTAATCACAGACTGTGCAATCAAAAAAAGAGTTTTAAAAGGTGGCCATAGAGTAAATTTAAGAAAAGAGGCTCCTTCATAGGATATGAGCCATTGGATCATTCGTGGTCATTTGTGAATCAGTCAGTGGATCGAATACAATTATTTTCAAAGAACATGTACTATCACAGAAAAATGTCCACTATGGGTTCCCAGGGCAAAGCAACCAGGAATACAATCATACATCTATGAAACGCATGATCCAGTGATTAGAATCATATCATGTAAAATTATCACAAAAAGAGCAATTATTCTTGGAAGTGAGATTATGGTGAGTTTGGTTTTAAGAGATTCTTGAGCAAAGAACTTGGCTCTCATTGGACAGAGGGTTGGGCCGAATGGGACAGCGTTTTCCCTATGATGCTCAACACAGCCCAAGAGAAAGCTGCAGCTGTGAGGAGTCCAGCGCCCTGCAAGAGCACAGACAGTGTCTGAAGAGATGATGAGAGCAGGGAGAAGGGTGAGGGCCGCTTCCTGGTACCACCACCACCACCACTGCCACCGTGGCCTGCGGGAGAGTACCTATGCCCTTGGGAAGTGTATCGAGGAGCCCCTTCCTCGGTCTCAGTGCACACTTGCAGGCTCGAAATTACACCCTGCAGAGCACACGCAGGACTGTGAGGGACCCCCCAGGTGCACTTCATACCAGACGGAAGGCTCCCCAGCTGTACCTACATAAGCCTTTACTGGTCCAAGTGCTCAGCTTGTCTGAGAGATGGGGAAAGCAGCTCTTGACGAAATCCTCAAAGGTCACGGTTGCTAAGGCATTGATGCCCGAAGCCACAGTGCTACAGGGAGAGACAAGCGAAAACATGGTGAAACTCTGTGAGGCTCAGCCAGCAGACTGCCCCCTCTAAGGACTAGGTCAGACTCTGCAAAGGGATGCAGACACAGGTTCTCATGCTGAAACCGCAGGTCCCCATGGGGACTATCCACTCATTCACAGGGTCTCCTGTGCTAATGTTCTGTCAGGTCTCCCCCAAACCCTGTGGGAGAAGCTAGGCTTTCATGGTCTGGTTCCTATGAATTCATCTCAGCAATGGGGGTGAGTTCACAGAGGGTAGCAGGAGGGGTCTATCTGTGTGCTTAGAGACCCACCCTAGCCCACCAGTCAGCAGTTATTTATTCATATCACTCTCTTCATACAGCCAGGCACGGGCATACACACACTGGTAACCTGGTAAGACGGGACGCTTAGTCTCTAGAACACAGGTATTTCCCAACATACCCGCCTGATGACAGCTGGGAAGCTGCTGTGAGAGAAAAGAACAAGATGCTCTCGAGGCACTGAAAGCCCCAGAGCAGCAGTGAGAAGCATCTGCTTAGGAAGCGACAGCTGCAGATAGGCACAGAGAACATCCATGCAGAGCAGGGACAGACACCAAGTGTGGGGGGAGATTACACACAGACTCCGAAGATGAAGGGGAGTTTGTGGCTTCTACAACCACCAGGGTGGGGTGGAATTAGTGAGAGAGAAAGGCAAAAGCAAAACTTCATAAAAGTTCTGATGTTCTCTAGTTTCCCAAACAGAGTTTGGGCTTATGGGACCTGGAACTTCTCAGCACACTGAAAGATGTGGCTTTCTTTGCAGAAAAGCATGATGGCTTATTCACTTCCTTCTCTGCATGAGGAAAGTTTTACATAGTGAAATACACAATTTGGTTAAAGTCAAGTGGTGCAAAATCATAGCCCGAGAACTCTTATTTCAATTGCATAATAAAACAAGGTTTTCTACTATCACTTTAATTAATTTCCACTCTTTTTAAAGCACACTTACATAAGATAATAAATATACAAAGTATTTTAAAAAAGAAGAGAACAAATCAAAATACAAATATTATTTGAATAAAATCAATCTTCAGAGAACCAACTAAAATAATTAAGGGAAAGAAAACCTAGATGTCAGGGAAAATTCTGTAAATGCACACTAATGCACAGATACAAACCTCTCAGAAATGAGCTCTCCTCTGAGAGCATGATCATTAAATTCTCAGGATCATCATAGCTATAGATGGAGAGATCAAAGGAATATAAAAGTGATTCCCAAACATTTCTCAAATGCATAGATAAATGTAAGGTGCAATCAAAGTAACATTTCAAGTCAGTGGTGGAAAGAAGGTTTATTTAGCAAGGCCATGGGTGTGGGACCATCACTGCCTTTGGGACCTCACCCATTTCAATGCACCCCAGATGCCAGACTTCAAACTCTGGATTTAATGTTTTCCCTGCTGGGTCTTGGTCTTGCCTCAAGTCAGTCACTTTCTGCTTTCCTATTCCTCCCTTTTGAAATGGAAATAAATACCTTCTGTCAGTGTCTTGACAGTACTTTTTTTGTTTTGACAAGGCTCACAGCTGAGGTTGCCTTGGGTCTCAGGAGACTTTAGACCTGGACTTCTGCTCAGTGCCAGCACAGGGAAGATGCTGGGGGCCTTGGCAGCAGAATCAATGCATTTTACCTCCGAAGATGGACCTCAGCTAGGGGAACAGAGGTGAGATGCTGTGGTAAGCATGTTGAACGTACCCCACAGTTCTGCACGTTACAGGCTCAGTATCCCAGGAGTTACTACTGGGAGGTGGAGGACACTCTGAAAGGTTGCACCTTACAGAGCTGGAGGTAGTGTGCGGTAGTGGAAAGACCTTAGGTCGCCGAAGGCAGAGGCCCAGGCGATCATATGTCCTGGCTTCCTTCCCCTCCCCTCTGCTTTCCATGTCATGAGGTCAGCAGTTTCGCTTTGCTACATGCACCTGCCATGACCACTGCTTCCTCGGGGAGTGGAGGCTCCAAAACTATGAGGCCAAATGAACCGTTGTTCTCTATATGTTAATTGCCTCAGGTATTTAAATATAGTGATGGAAAAGAGACCAACTCAGCACCTGGGAGCTTTGAAAAATAAGCAAAAAGTTCTAGAGTTGAGGGAAGAGCTAGGCTTGCATCCTGTTACAGCTGTTTCCTACCTCACTCTGGATTTGCTCTCTACCTGGTTAAATCTGAGCTTCCTCATGTGGAACTGGTGATGATATTTAAGTTTCAGTCTCCTATGCTACGTGTTGACCAATATGCAAATATAAGTAAAGGGTTCGGTACAGAAGCCGACACACAGCAAGTGCTCAGGAGGTAGCTGATCATTACAACCATGGCTCATCAGTGTCCTCGTTATCATCACCATCATCATCGTGCTGTCGGTATACTAACCTCAGAGTTCCGCTAAAGGCACAGGCCACAAAAAGTCCTGGAAGTCCTGGCATTTTGTCGAACAGTTCCATGACAAAATACGGCATCAGCTAACGAGGAAGGACAGAGAGAATCAATGGTTTTCTAGGCAGAATCTAAAATGTGAGATGTAGCATTTTTAGCAAGAGAAGGTAGGGATTTATTTTTCCTGTTTTAGCATATGCCATTTCTTATCTGTTTGCTCCAAGCCTACCGCCTAAAGCCTTCAACACTACCTGAGATGGATCCTAAGGGATCTAAGTGCAACTGTGGCATCCTGGCTGGTCTGTGGGATGCAAGGCCCACGTGACAGAGCTGGACAGCTGTGTCCAGGGCTGGGGAGCAGAGGAGCGCCTGTTCCTCCAGTTCCTCCTGTGGTTTTTATAACTCTGCAAACAGAGTTAGAAAAACTACATTTAATGCAGGATGCTGACAAGAGGCTTAAGCTGTGCCGGGAAGACAAGAACACAGGGAAGAATGGCCACCAGGGGCGTTCATTCTATATTAGATTACAGCAGAATTGCAACCTTGAGGTTTGCAGGAAAGGGATGGGCAGCAGTGTTGACAGCCATCATTGTGGGCTTGAGCCTGCCCAGCACTCTCTCCCACCCTGACCTGCCTTCAGGTCAGGGTCTGCAGGGACACAGGGACACAGTGTCCACAGGGACAAAGCAAAGCAGCTTTTCTCCTTGCACTGCTAGAGCTCAAACCTAGTCCCTTACACTTGCTAGGCAGCAACTTTTCTACGGGCCAACACCCTAGTCCCTTGTGGAGTACCCTGCACACATGCACACCTCTCCCTGTTACAACTCAGTATGAGTGACAGCACCCAAGAGCAGAGGACAGAAGCCAAGTCCTTGGGGTTTGCTACATGACTAGAGGTAAGGCTAGAACACACGATGGGCTCAGTGTTATCCAGTCTTGGCCAGAACCCCCTTGTACCTAAGGAATGCATACCTGGTCGGGTGCTGAGATCATGCCAGAAGTCCAAGGGTCGCAGTCTTTGAAATAGGAATACATGATTAATCCTGAGAAGACGGCACACAACAGGATGGTCCAGAGGCCCAGCAAGTTAAAGTACAAGGCCCTGGGAAAGAGCACATGGGCTGATTGGCAGGCTCAGAGGCACAGAAGAGTCAGTGGAGTCATTACTAAACCTCAGGGTCAAGGTTTCTGGGGTTCCTTTATTTAGCTTTCATGAATCCTTATATTTTATACTTTCAGATTTGAGGAATATATTACATTTTAGACTAATTACCAAAGTCAATTTAAGTAATGTTCTAGATGGATTTTATTTTAAAATGGAGAGAGTTTTTCCCCTTTCTTTTACAGGCTCTCAGTATGTGTGATATGAGGTCTATTTTCTTGGATGAAATTTCACATACCCATCACTCTTATTATATAACTTGAAGTGATTTCCCCACCCTGACTGAATTCACGAAGCTGTCAAAGAGACAAATTACATTTTAGCATCTTTTTTTCCAAAGACATAATGAGATAATATAGAAATAGACAAGTCATGGAGATACTGCACTCACTTTGGAAATTAATTCAGATGAAAGTTAAAGTTGCATTTTTTAAAAAGCCACAGAAAGTACTAAAAACTTAAGATTATCATACCCATATGATTTGGAGCAATTCATTTTTTTTCTACCACACACAGACATTGGTAAATCCAGCTGGGTGCCTTTACAGCATATTATTCTTATTTTCTATCCATTTCATATTTGATAAAATCCTACCCCAGGGAATATTTGAAAGGAGATAGAGTTTAGAGAGGCCTAAAAGCATAAATATAGCCATTGTGGAATGCGTCCCGGGCCTGGCAGGGTAACTCTGGGCATTTTCTTGAATCTGTTTGAAGAGCATAGATGCATCCACCTTAAGATTAAGGGCAGCCACTGGTTTCAACGCCACTTGTGGCCTCCACTATACAGGTGGACCTGACCTTAGCAAGAACCTTAAATCAAAGTCCTTGTTTAAAAAAGAAACATGCCAGATAACTATTCCACTGAGAAAAATATTAACTTCACATTTTCAGAAAGCTTTATCATCTTGACATTGAATTCCTTGGAATTATTTCCACAATGTTTGCCTGGAGTTTTCTTTGTTCTTATTTGGTAGAGGTTGGGACTAAATTGATACATGAAATGATCAATAACCCATCATGTCGATAATCATGCTCTGTGTTGATCATCTTGGGCAACTCTGTTCACCTCACACTGGTTACCTCTTAGACAAGCCTTCCTGACCATCCTTATGGGAAAGTCACTTGTCAGATTTATGCAACAGAAGAGGTTTTGTCATTATAGCATTTATCATGAGGAGCAATGCTATGATATATTCATTGTCTGCTATCTGTTGTTGCAACAAACCAGCACAGTGCTATATCCCCAGAGCATAGCATAAAACACAGAGAAGATATGTAAGAAATGATGAAATGATTAAATGAATGAATGGACTGAAACCTTTATGATCTAAGTGCACCCCTTGCTGCAGTTATGTTTTGAAAAGAGCTTTGGACTTGGATACTTATCAACTGTTTGGCCTTGGTTGCATGACCAATCTTCTGAGTGTACCATCTATGAAACAGACTGAAACACACCTGCCACACTTCTTATTGCAGCACTAATATGAGAACAGAATGAGCTACACTTTGTAGAATATATGGAGGCTACATAGACATAGAGAGGACATTCATACATTATTTAAAACCCATGATATAAGTTGACCAGACAATGATGGAATATGAGAAAACAGTAATGAGATGGTAGAGTATTGGTAATTGCATTTTTAAATTTTTCTCATTGAAACTAGACTTTGACTCTATGCAAAGCTAATTCTCATGTTTGTAAAGGGGGCTACTTCATTAATTCATTAAAAATACTGATTGGATATCTGTGTCTATCAGGCCCAGTTCTAGATTCTGGGAATATGGTACAGATCAATCCAGAATCCATCCCATTCTGGGACTGGAAGAATGCGAAAATATTGAATTAAAGGTAAATCAGACGACTTTAGATAGAAGACTTACGAGGAAAATAACCTGAGAAAAAGAAAAGGAAAGAAAAGCCACTGTGGGTGGACGTGTCCAATCTGGCTGGGAATTGGACTCTGGATGGCCTGCTTTCCCAGAGACCCTCCACCTCTGCCATCTTGGTTGCACTGTTTACCATCCATGGTCCTGAGAGGTACGCTGGGGTCTAGAAACAAAGGCTTTCCAATGAGTTTCTAGGTGATATTATTTACAGGTGTAAGGAAGATCTGGCCTCACATAAGGTTGTCTTTGGTAAAGAAGCAGCATTTTTGGCCTTGCAGTTAACTGCACATTCCTGCACAATGAATGAGCCACTCCTGGTTTCTACCAATGGTCATGTTCATTACCAACTTTTTATTCATTTCCACTTACCTATGTTATATGGTGTGTTTTCCCCAAGTAGCAGCGTTTAGTTTCTTTTTCCCCTTCTAGGGTCCAAAGGAGTGCTTTGATTATATTAGACAGTCAGATAACAAAGCAAGAGCAGAACGGTTCAGTCAGTGTTCTGCAGAATCCGAGAGGTTAGAGTCCACCATGACTCAGAGACACTCCTTGTCCAGGAAGTGTCCTTCAGGCTGCAGTTTAGTGATAAACAAATCTCACACCAGTTCCCCACGAGGACAATGGGTGCACTTAAATGTATGGATAATTTTCTCCCCTTGATTGTGATTTAATGCACCTTACAGCTCTTGGGGAAATCTTTCTAAAGAGTGTTTACAATCCATCTATTTTCACTGTCAAAAAATTTCAATCACAGCTCTGACCTGGACTTAAGAATAAAGATGGCTGTTCTTGCAGAACAGTGTTAAAAGCCTAGAAAAATGTGTACATTTTGGTCTTCATGACGATCTCTCCTTTTCTGCCAAATTTCACACCCACGTAATTTCTAATAAATCAGTTTGCAAACTTCAAGCATCTATCTGGTGATTTTGCAGTGATGTTGTGCTTGAAGTAAATTAACCACATAATAATGCTTTGAGGTTTTGCAGAATAATATGCATACACACATATGCACATGCACACATGAATTCTTCGGTGTGTGTATGCTGTGAGTACACATACAAGGATGACCTCGTCAAGGCGTTACTTTTTAAGTAAATGATAAATACCTAATAATCACAATGCATTATTCTTGACACTGTGAAGAAAAAGAGGATTAAAAAGATGATTGCAACCCCTCAGGCACAGATATTTAGTAGGGGTAAATAAAGCATATTTACAAGAGAAAGTCACATAAGTTCATGACATTAAAATAAAATGATTTAATAGCTGGGGACAGTGACACACACCCATAACCACAGGTACTTGGAGGCTGACGAGAGGAGGTCACATGAGCACAGAAGCCTGGGAACCTGGCAAGATCCTGCTTCAACAATAAGTAATAAACAAGAGAGAACAAATGATCAAACTCTGGATTTGATAGAGAAGTTATTTCATCAAAATCTTCTCTTTATAGATATGTTCAACCCCTGTTTATCTTAAAGCTACATTTTTAATGAATTCAATTTAATGAACTTTAAGATCAAAATCCCATGCATTTTTAGTGCTACCGCTGTTTGCCAGGGGATGATCATGTGTGTGGAGAAGCTGTTAAGATGTTACCCTAACAGGATTTGGCTGTGTCAACAGTGAAGGAAAGAATGACAAACATCCATTCACTTCCTCTGAGTTCTGAGATACACAGTTTGCAGCAGCATATCACTCCAGCCAGTACTCAGCTTGCAAAACTGCGTTAATTCATCTCCAGGCGATTTTATGTTTCATTTAGTGAAAACAAGAAATTATACATTGAAAATACCATAAAATCATGTTGGGAAATGTGCTCTGAGACTCTCTCTGGGAAGAGTTCAGGGCCTTCTGCTTGGAGCAGGAGGCTGGGACCTTGGACAGGGGCTCTGTGAGACAGAAATTCCTCCATGTCCACCTCAGGTGCAATCCTGCCTTGCCTGCCAGTTTTGTGAGTCTTCGGAATGACCTGTCCTAGGTACTGTTGGCTGTTTTCAGAGAAATTTATAGTAAGAATCAGGAACACATCCACCCGCAGAATATAGTAAGAACTAAACAAGGTAAAAGGAAACAGAACATTTGCTTGATCTGTAACTTACAGCTTCGCATGCTTTTCTGTTTTGCAAGAGATGCATCTCTGTATGGTGGATTGATTGACTCCATAGATGCCGAGCCATGTAAACGTGCCTCCAACTGCGATTGTCCAAAACGTGTGCCTCCGGAGAGGATCTGCATCAAAACTGAGACACAGAGAACACAGATGTACCTTGGGGGTCCAGATGTTATGTCACTTGATGAGAGCATGCAGTTTTAAGTCTTCCCAGAGTGTAAAAAGTAGAATGGGACATACTCAACTATCTGCAGTCGGGATCCATTTCCAGCATGCTCTAGTGCATTGTGGAATCCATTGGTTTTAATGGAGCCTTGAATGAGAACTGTTAAGAAGCCCACAATCATGACAATCATCTGAAATGCATCTGTCCACACCACTGCTTTTAATCCTCCCTGAAATGAAGAGAGTCATTGTGAGCGATTGAGATTAAGACCTGACACCATTTCCAATTTGAACAGTTTTCCTACCAATAAGGACACTCATTCACTGACTCAGTAACTTTTATAGGTCATCTTTTATTTGGTTTATCATCAATGTCAAACATGGGAATAAAATGGTAATCAAGGAAGGTCTCTTCTTTAAGTTAATAGAGCTAATAATCTAATAGGAGAAGTGGATAATAGATAGCAAGATAGCTATTAACTTAGACTTGTGAAAAATACCACAAAAGATGAGTTACTAGAGGATCATACAACGTGGCACCTTGACCAGACCTTGAGAAAGTATGTGTCAAGCAAGACTAGAGGTCCTTGAGGAAATGAAAGAAAGCTAGAATATTACATACAGATCCAAGGGCAACCAGCCCAGATTGGAGGCTGCTACATTTGTTAAAGGCCAGAGCATATAGATGGTGATGAGGCTACTTCACAGATTTTTCAAGAACAAGGAGAGAGCAGTAAGGAGAGTTCAGTAAGGAGAGATATTCTTCACAGTGGTTTTATTGGTAGTTGTGTGGATGATGTATTGTAAGCCTCACAGGAAGGGGATTCAAGAGACCAGTTGAGTTTATTACGGTTTCTCATGCCCAAGATAGTGGAAAGTTTGAAGTAAGGTAGAGATTGAAGGAATGTGATGTATTTGAAAGACATTTGAATGACCAAAACCACCATAGTTTGTGATTCCACCAACACAGATAATGAAGAAGAGAATTAAAGAATCACCTGGCTAGAGCATGTAAAGTTTGAGACGTTTTAATGAAATTAGTGACAATGAATGAACTTTGGGGGAAAGAGATGGTAGCATACTGAAAAAAACAAAACTAGGCAGGAATGTTAGATTGCAGATTCATGAGGAAGGAGTTTTTGAGATACAGGGTGGTCAAATGGTGAGGTGAAGAACCCAGTTCCCCTAAAACGGAGCTAATAGTAGAACCTAACATAGGGCATTTAGGCAAGAGCTCAGTAACGTGGTCACCAAATCTGTCTTCCCGCTAAGGTCACCTGAGGAAGGTAAAGGAAAATTAAACAAGGTCCAAATCCCATCCTCAAGGATTCTAAATTAATTGCCATGGGCCGGGGGCCTGAGCTGCGCCTTTTGAAACCTCCCAAGTGTTTCCTGATGTAGGATCCTAGGTGAGAACATGTGGCCTGGGAAGAGGAGGGAGGAGGAGAGAGCACAGTGGTACTCCATAGAGAAAAGCCCTGGGGGCCATGGCACGGGTGGAATGAGCAAATAGGGGAAGATTAAATGAAGTGACAGATAAAGAAAGTACTTTCAAAATGCGTGAGCCCGAGGAAAATGAAAGGATGTGATATTTTTAAATCAAAAAATAGAATTATCATCCCCAGTTACTCCTCCAGAGTGTCAAGAACTTCTGTGAAGAGATGACAAGCTGTATCTTTAGCTTCTGAAGAAAAAAGACACCAGGTTGTCCCAACCTTTTTTGTAATTAAAATTTAATTTAAAACTAAACATTCAAGTCCCTGCTAAAAGCATTGCATTTATGTATTTTGTTCCAATCATATTTTGAGGCACGGTAAATGTCTCACCTCCCACCTTGTAGGATGGCACTGTGTCGACTTCCTTGCAAGATGTGAAGCCTTCCAAACCTGAATCTTAACTTCAGATTTTAGTAATATGAAAACCAAATATCAAAATTCCCAGCCTTCAGAGATTGCTTGACATTTGTTACAGGAAAATCTGAATAAACCTAAAACTTCAGCTTGACATGCAAGAAAACAAACTACTTTTCCAAATATTCATCATCAATCAGATTGCAGCTACCATGAAATCTTCTTTGATTTTCACACAGCAAGACTTTATCTCCTCTTGTATATTTCACCACTCTGTGCTGCTTCGGATCTAACCTTTACCTCATTTTATTGTGCATTTTGGATCACAAGAATAGGTTAGTTTTTACATCTCTTCCACTGACTTTTCCCCACATGATTATGCATCCGCAAGATTATTGGAATGAAAAGTTGCAATGTGAGTGCAGGCTTTAGATGCATTTCAATTCCTGAAAGATAGCGTTGTGGAGAAATTAGAGCTCGGCAATTGTTCTTCCTCAGTGCTGTGAAGATACTATTCCACTGTCTCTGGCTCCCATTGCAGGTGCTAAAAAGCCTGCCTGTGGTGTCCCTTTGCCCCCGCTAAAAGCATTGCATTTATGTATTTGGTACCTCTGTCCCCTCTGTGACCCTGCTATATCCATTAGAGTTGTGTTTTTCAATTGTGCATATTCTCACTTCTTTCAGTCCTGAAGAATTTCAAGCTCTATCTTTTCTGGAAATAGTGTCTCCTCCATTCTCGCTGTTTGCTTCTCTTCTGTGACTCTGACCAGATGTGGATTGCACTGTCCCTCATACTCTGCAGAGCAGATTTGCATCTTTTTCCTCACAAGAGCCCCATTTGTCACTGACCTCCAACACCCTGAGCTCCTCTCAGTGACCCCGGTTAGTGTAATTGTCCCGAACTCACCTGACTTACATTGCAAATGGACCAGGGCTCAGCAGCAGCGATGTTTTCAGCACCTGTCCTGAAATCAACCCCATCCTTTCTGCCTACTCATTTCTTCCAGATACCATCCCTAGTAACCTGTTTGAATTATTTGTTATTATTTAAATTATTTGATTACGTTATTTTGTTACTGTATTTTGGGAAAGAGATTTCCTTTGCATATCCTGTATAATCCCAACAATGCATCAAAAAGCCATGGATCCACATTTAATTTTTTTCTTCTATTCCACTTTTTCTTTTCAGAGGAATTAAGTCATCTCACAGATTCAGGTGGAAAGAGGAGGAATCTTTCTTTTTAATTAAGGTCGAAAGAGGCTTATGAGAACCATAATCAAAAGAATGGAATGGAAGATGAGACAGAATTTTGATGTGACAAAATGGTGCATTTGCAAAGATAAAAATGAAAGAGGGAGACATTTTTAAATTGTGTCTTCACATGTGACATATTGCAAAGGCAATGTAGTGTGATCATAATGCCACACTACAGAGACAGTCTGCTATATGATAATGTGTCAATGACTTCTACTTTTTTATGAAGGCCTAAAGAGATTCCACCCTTCACAGGTTAATTATAGCCAGCTCATGATGTAATGATTCAGAAGAGAAGGATTTTCCAGTTGTAGGACAGGAGCAAACAATAGGTGTTCAATGACTTATTTGTTGAGATAAACTAAATTTAAAAATTCTATAAACATGGCCAATTCCACTCAGCTCCCTTTACTGGAAACTGAACATATGCAAAGCTAAAAGTTAAAGGTACTTGAGGTTCATTTATAAACAGCAGATAAAATAGCTGTGAAATGATTAAATTTCTAAAGCATCAAACATCCTGGATGACACACATATGCCTTCCCTATCTCTCAGCTAGTAGACACTGAAGTACAAATGCTGCCCTCGATTTATCAACAGGTTTAGGAAGCAGATTTATTTCTTGAGAATGTCAGAGGGTCATCTGTTCTCTGACCAGGGAGCTATTTCTTTCATTAAACTGTCTGTCAAAGGCGTGATTTTCTTGACTGAATTCGGCACCTGAGTTCAGTGCCCAAATTCTCATAGCTGCTAGTGCAGAAAGGAATTTTAAATGGAGCAATGTCATCACCAGGTGACTCTGACAGATCAGCCAGGATACCTCTATTTAATTTCGGAAGCGTAATGTCTGGATAATTAGATGCCCTGTTGCAGACATTCACCTTCCCCATCTTAGGAAGCATCGCTCAGTAGCTTCCCCTGCTGGGTACCTACCAGCGTGCAGTAGAAGGTGCAGACGATCCCCGTGGCAAACACCGAGCCCCAGAGGTCAAACCCGGTCACTAGCAAAGGAGAAGAACATTAAAGGAGTTTCTCCCAGTTGTGCAAAGGAGCAAGCTTTATAAGAAAAGTCACAATGTATTTGTCAGTGTTCTTGTGAGCTATAGGAAATCACTCCACTTTCTCCTCATTAAGTTTTAGCACCTCTGAAAAAGATGAGGTTTTCGCACCTCAAGCAGGCTACCAGTTTCAGTGTTCTGTCAATTTTTTTCCTGAGATTCTGTAATTTTTATCTTCGATCCAATTGTTTTGCTTTTTTTTTTTTTTTTTTTTTTTTTGGTTTTTGTTCTTTTTTGATAACAAAGTTAGTCTGAATAATCAGAAAGCAGCATGAGTGGGGAAAGTAATCCTTTTCAAGATAAGTACATATTCCAATTAAAGTAGATGTGGAGAACTTCCAGTATAGCAAATTTACACCATGAAATTTCTTTTCCTTTTTATTTTCCTTTCATTTTTGTTTCTAGGAGTCTATTTTCTGCTCTCTCTCTCTCTCTCTGTCTCTTCTCTCTCTCTCTCTGTCTCTCTCTCTCTCTCTGTCTCTCTCTCTCTCGTTCTTTTTTCTTTTGTTGAGACAGTCTCACTATGCAGTTTAGGCTGGCTTTGAGCTCACTTTGCAGTCCAGGCTGGTCCTAAACTTGCAATGATCCTCCTGCCTCAGCCTCCTGAGTACAGAGATTACAGGCATGAGCCATCACACCCAGCTAGGATTCTGTTCTCTTGAAAGGATTAACTGCACATCTTCACGTGATTTATAAGCAACTGTTACTCTTGCACTCAGATTAGCTTCTTCATGAAACCACTAAGAAAAGGTGCTTATGTTTAGATGACTTCACTTAGTGATTGTGCTGCAATGGTACCAAAGCCACCATCATTTCAATGAAACAAACCCCTCCCCAAATAGTTATCAAGCTGGCATTTAGAACCACTGAGTTTCATGAGATAAAATCGAATAACATCTCTTTGCATTGTTTAATTTCAAAGATGTTTGGAGACAGGACTGCAGGGACTCACACCTGCCTAACCAAGGGTCACCTGCCACAAGGTGTTTCACGGTCATTTCTCTAAGATGAGATCAGGCATAAAAGTAATGATATGTGCCCACCAGGGCATCAGGGACTCACCTTGATTGAGAGCCAGGGCAGGCGCATACACCACTATCCCTGTGTAGAGAATCTGGTAGGGAAACAAGAATGAGGGGAGGTAAACAAAAGAGAAACAAGAGGGGAAACGCTGGAGGGTTCTTACTGAGCCTCAGAGATCCACTTCCTTCCCACCTACTCTGTCTGAACCCATTCACCATGGAGATGCAGTGAGCTCTGGGAGCCATGTTCAGACCATCAGATTGAGGGAGGGGGTTAAATTTTGAACATTGTTGCCAAATTTGAGATCCATGGTACTGGGCACATTTTTAACAGCAGAGTTCTTTACCCTTCCTCTGTTGGCTCCCCTCTGACACATATCTGTGGGCACCTGGCTGACTTCCAGGGAAGCTCTTCAGCAATTTGTTCAACTATGGGCCTCAACGTGGAGGTGGAGAAACTCTGGGAAGACAAAGAACTGCACGGAGAAAACTGGTGGCCAGGATGTCCTGCATAATTTACCCACTAATTCACCAAATTGTAGTCATTACCCTGGTGGAAAAGGACTCCCTTTTGGCTTTATATTATGTGCATTTCCAGCATTTAAAGATGCATGGCAGGGTTTCAAAAGACTGACACCTATGAGCTGCTCAAGAAATTGTGGCTGCCCTCCTAGTCCCTTCAGGCACTCAGGGGGAATTTGAATTAAGGAAGAGAAAGTCCCCTGCTAGCAGAAAGCACCTAATGAGCGAGGTGGGGCACGAAGGTCCCCAAAGCCAACAAATGCCAAAGGAATCCCCATAAGAGTGAAACAGGGATACTGCTTGTCTTGTCTTTATGGCTTATAATGTTCATTTGTTTCTCATTAGTAGTCTAGGCACTTGCAAAGGTTGATACTTTGTGTCAACTTGAGGATTGAGAAGTTTAGAGGTTTCACTAAGTGACTCAGCAGGGGGCCAGAGTCCTCACTCTGTAAACACCCTCAGTCTATGCAAGAGGAGGGTGTGGAGACGGTGCCAGTGCTGCACCGCCCTGGAGGGGTAACCTGCTCACAGTATAAGGAGGAAATCAGACCTGCTCTCCCTCTCCTTTGCTCTTGCCACTTTTGCTGTCTTCTGCCACCTTGAATTGTGGCCTCTCATCCACGTCACACTGCCCTGGAGCCAGCTGATGATGGGCTGAAACCTCTACAAAGTGTAAGCTAAATAAAACTTTCCTTCTTTCATTTTGAGCATCAGGTATTTTGTTCCAGCAAGGAGAGAAAAGTAACCGAGACAGTGCTGTATACGGAATCTATGCAGTGCAGATGCCTCTTAAGGTAATCCTGTGTCTTAAAAACACTTCTCTAGGAAGAAAGCAGTGGCTTCTTAGTACTAAGTCTGGCCTTAAATTGTGTTAATTAGCCCCAAATATACAAAACCCCGACTGGATCTTAGAACCCCAGCTTCTGTGTCAGCAGGAGCCCTTCGCTTACCGTCTGCACAATGTAGATGATGGTGGCTGCGTAGCGCACTGATTTGTTGAAGCGCAGTTGTAGGTACTGGAGGAACAGAGAGAGACACACACAGGGTCAGCGAGTTTGGGCAGGGGCTCTAAGAAGGGCTTGTTTTGTCCCTTTGGTATTTCCCTAAGCAAAGCACTAAAGACTTTTAGTATGATGTCATGCTGTGAGTCTTTGCACTGGGCATGGGTTTTTAATGCCCAGCATGGATTAAAACTCACTTCCTGTTCATGCTTCTGACTTCCTCCTACCCAGGGTTCTTCCTGCAGGACCAGTTAAAGTCACCGTTTCCTGTTATATACGCACTGCCCTAAATGTAGCTCAGCTCTCTGATTTTCTTTTCTGGAGTACCGCGGAGGCCTCTTCACTGGTCTCCCCATACAAGCCTCGCCCACCATCCATCCCCTCAGCATCTCTGCTGCATCACTTCTCTCAATGCAGAGCTCTGGGCATGGTGCTTTTCTTCCCCACATCCTGGATCATTCTCGTTGTTGTTACAAAGTGCACAGCTCAGGCTTGGTCTTGCACAGCCTCTACCATATGACCCACGCTTAGCCTCATGAGTCATAACCCTAACCCTCACCCCGATTTATTCCCCATGTAAATTCATTAAGGTGTGTTTAACTAACACATTCGGTAGCATCCCAACTTTCCTTTGTGTAGGTGGAGCTCTCAGTGTGAGAGTTCTTCCTTCGAATTTTAAATTTGTTTCCCAAATTCTGAATCGTCACTCTGGAAGAGTGGCTCAGTTGCTGTGACTCCTGTCCTTACCCTGGTTCTCACTCTGGTTCTCTCCGCTGAGCTCTTGCAACACTGATACTGATTCTTCGTAACGATCAGTTGCACACTGGTGATTCTGGTGCTGGCTTTATCTCAGGTTACTTATAGATCAATAGCTTAGGGCTGTTGTGACAAATTGCCATCAATTTGGTGACTTACAGCAACAGCAGGACTTACTCTCCTGCATTTAGAGATTCCAGAAGAGCAAATGAATTTCACTGGGCCAAAATCAAGGCGTTTGCAAGGTCGTGCTCCTTTGTGCAGCTCCCGGATCTGCTTCTAGCCTTGCAGAGCTTTTTGGGGCGGCTGATGCCCTAGCATTTGACTGTGTCACCCTAATCTTTGTGCCTTTAGCCCTACTGCCTTCTTATCTGTCTTGTACTACCTCTTCCCATAAATGTGCAGTAATTGTGTGTATGTTTTACGATCGCTTAGATAATGCAAAGTAATTACTTCCCATATGTTTAGACCCAATGTCTCTCTTGCTTTTGACCATATCACAGGTTCTAGGCATTAGGTTTAGAGACCTCTCTCTCCACTTCTTTTCCCCTCCCATCCCCTTTCTTCCTCCCCCGACCATTAGCAGGGTCAGTTAGAAAATGTGAGTTAGTGGAAACTGAGTTACAATTCTCCTTATTTTAAAGAAGGACCCATGAAACATTTATGTATCCCTTCTACCAAGTTGAAACTACACTGTAGTCCAGTGTACTGAGTATATCACCAGAAAATCTTATATGAGCTAACCATTACTAATTATTAAACAATTAAAAATAAAATTCTATTGATAGTAGAAGAGCTACAAGGGATTATGAAAACACTAGTAGAGTCTGATTGACTGATGGCTGTAAGGAAAGGTTTTTGTGAGTATTTTCAAACATGAATGTCTAGAAGCCATCTAAGAATATGTCTCCCAACACACAAGAAAACATCTATTGGATGAACAAAAGAACAAAATAAGTTTTAAAAGAAACAAATGACTTAAACATTCAATTTCTTGGGTGTAGTCTCTACTTGGGATTTCTCTATTAAAATATCTATTATTATGGGGTAGAAGACAGCAAAACTTCCATGCTGAGGACATGTGGGCTCCATCCCACACCTCTGGGAAAAGAAGTTCACTGCACAGACTCCTCACTGCACGAGGGCCCTCCCTGAGTCTCCCTGAGTCTGTATAAACTAGACTCAGGAGCTGTCATGGTGGTTGATTGTGTTAACTTGAGAAATTTGGAAACTTAGCCAAATTGGCTCAGAAGTTCTACATTCTAGAGTGCAGAGGATCCACCCCAGGACAGCTCAACACCTCGACACTGTAAAGGGGCAGTGAGAAAGATGGACTTGGGGGCTGGGGATTTAGCTCAGCGGCATAAGCACCTGCCTTGCAAGCAGGCAGTCGTGAGTTCGATCCCTGGTACCGATAAAAACGAAAAAGACAAAAAAAAAAAAAAAAAAAAAAGAAAGATGGACTTGTTTCTGTTCCTCGGAGGGGCTCCTCTTCATCGTCAGCTTGGGCGCCATCTTCTGGCCTCCAGCACAGTCTACTTGGCTTCCTTTGCAGACTCTTCAGGCTTCTAGGGCAGATGCTTGAGCTTCCAGGGTGGATTCTTCAGCCTTCTGGTGTAGACTCTATCTTTCCAGGATGAAAGCCCATCGGGCTCTTGATAAAGATTTGCATGGAACACTGCAATGAGCTCCAGACCTTGGACTGAACCCTCTAGCATCACCAGTGTGCATATGCCCTCTGCACACTCTCATCTGACTTGCGCTGACCACTGCAAGCGAATCTTTTAATCTCTTACTCACTTGTATATCTTGTGTTGTGCCTTTTTCTCTAGTAAACCCTGACTGATCCAGGATGGAAATATCATTTCTCAAGTGTGTGACAGAAGCAACCAAGTGTGTGATCATCCCAAGTAGAGGGCTCAGAGCACAGTGAGATCATCATGGCTGTGTTAGTTACTGTGGGTGCAGCAGACCTAGCTGCTGGCACTGTGTCCCAGTGCATGCAGGTGGCATCTGAATGAACCTATTTGAGGGCTTCCTTCCAAGCTTGATCAGGGCAATTAGAAATGCTTGGGGCACGCAGCCAGTGACTACAGAGAAGGGAGAGAAAATGCACAGCCTTCCTTGTCTTTCTGAGGGGAGTTCCTGATGTCCACTTTCTACCTTCTTTACATGCCTAGTAGCAGGGCACCCCATGGGTCACAGTGGAAACCTGCTGAGAACTGAGCCTTCTCTGACTTCCTCTCCTCCAGGCTCCACTTTGCTACCTGCCTAGTGCTTGCTGGAGTCCTCTCCCAAAAATAGTTTTCCAGGAAAGATCGCCAGACACCAGCGGTGAGGGGGTGCCGGTCATCTCTGTCCGTGTTCTCAGAATAAAGGCCTCTTTTTCTTTTATACTTCTCATCTTTTGGAAATAATCCTATCAATTCTTAAAATTCATTCTTCAATTTTAGAGAACACAAACTCATACCTGATATACAGTAGACACTGAAGTAATGGCATGAAGGGAAACCTAAATTTTGAGCTGTCAACACAGTAAAAAGCAGCTGAGTTAGTTAGAAATACAGGCAACTGACTTCCGGGAGAACATGACGGACAGATAGTAGGAGCTACCAAGGCTCTCTGAGGGACCCAGCTTAGAATCCAGGAATGGTGCAGAGTGAGGAATCCTAAGCAAGAGGAGATATACCCTTCTGACCCAAGAATGAACTGGGCTGAGAGAAACCAACTGGGAATGCAATCCTGGTGCTATGACAGGAACAGATAAAGCCTCAACATGGAAGCTGGAGCCTGCGCCATTGGAAGATGCGATTTGAGTTTCCTGCTGCTGCTGCTGCGTCTGAATCGGCTCCACAGTGAGAGAGACACACAAAAGCTCTGAGAACGGGAATCGGTGAACAGAGTTGAAAGTGGGATAGGCGGGGAGCTGTGCATCGACCTGCAGTGAGTGAGGGAAACTGGGACTCTTCCATGGTCTAGGAGGCTCCAACAGAGGATATTCTGGGACCAGGCAGACTTGCCGGAACAGGGTGCTGTAGTGACTCAGTCACATATCCCCCTCTCAAGCGGGATTGGTGAGCAGTGTCTAGCCTACATGACACTGCTGGCTGAGACCTAGTAGGCTAGCACAACACAGGTCCCAGTGCCTGGAGGTGCACCCTAGCAGTGAGGCCTTCATTAGTTTGACCTGGAAGGGTGGGCCCCGCATAGGCTGCCTGGTCCTTAACTCCCTGGTGCGCTGCAGTGGGCGGGAACACCTAGCCAACGAAATTCAAACAGACTGTGGCCGACAGGGAAGGAAGCTGGGCCTCCTGTATATGCTTGTACTTAACAAACAAAGAATATGGGATGAGGGAGCAACAAGGCTCTTTGGCCCCCAATCCTGAGAAAGAGGCAATAGCAGACACAGCACCAATAGACATAAAGAGCTATCTCCAGAGCTCCATAGACGAGTTCAGGAATGAAGTGATTAATGACCTGAAGCAAGACATAAGCAGAATAGTTAGAGAAATGCTAAGCACTACCCAAGAAAAAACAGATGGTGGAATGGACGAACAGAAAAAAAGGGCAGAATTGTTTGATGGAGAAAATAGAGAAAACATAGAATACATGAAGCAGGCTCAAAGAGATTACCAGGAAACTAAAAACTCTATCAAACACTGGCATAACAGCTTGAAATAAACTAAGGATAGATTATCTGAACTGGAGGGCAGATTTGTAATATGGGAGCATGAAATGAAAAGCTTCTTAAAAATAACAAAGAAACAAACAGCAATAATATGAAGACTAGAAGATGATAAGAGGATCTATAACTTAAGAATAAAGAACATAAAAGAAGAGGTAGGGACACAAACAAATGAACTACAAAAGCTACTCGCAGAAATAATCCAGGAGAATTTTCCTAATTTAGCAAAAGGTAAAGATACTCAGATGTATGAAGCATACAAGACCCCAGCCACCTACAACCCAAACAGAGCTACACCCAGGCATATAATAATCAAAATACCAGAAATCCAATGTAAGAACAGAATATTAAAAGCTGTCAGAGACAAGAAACAGATTACTTACAAGGGAACACCCATCAGAATTACAGCAGACTTCTCGGCACAAACCATCAAATCATGAAGAGCATGGGGGGGGGGGAATAATTCAAGCTTTGAAAGATAATAACCTCCAGCCAAGATTGAGATATCCTGCACAACTATCCCTGGAAATTGATGGAAAAACAAGGTGCTTCCAGGATAAAGAGGAACTAGGGG